GGGTTAGTTGTCCACTATATGTCATCATTTTGAGCTAGCTACATTAGGGTGAGTACATTAGTTAATAGGTTTATAATTTAGGTAACACATTAGAAATTTTTAAAATTTTAGTACTACATTGAACATTTTACTATAATTTAAGAATATTCATGACATTAACCTAATTAAAAATTAATGGTTAAAATTTTTAATGAAAGAATAACAAATAGTCTATAGAATACTCAAACTTTTATTATTTTTTAACCAAATAAGAAAGTATGGTAATAATATTACACATGTTCAAAGATGAGTGGCAAATTTGATCCACCACTTAAGTAGAGTTATAAATTTAGACCTTATACCTTTTGAATTCATAAGTAATAGCCTAAAATGGTATAAAGAAATGGAAAAAATAGGTTCCAGTTCGCTTCATGTCATAGTCAAGTCATTTTAGTTTGTATTTTTTTTGGATTTTAGTCATTTCAAGTTTGAATCTTTTTAAGTTTAAATCATTATGGATCAAACAAGTAAGCAAAAATTTTGGAAAGATTTAGATGAGGTAGTGCAAGCCATACCAAATGAAAAAAGTTGTTTATTGAAAGAGACATGAATGGTCACGTTGGCAAGGATTTAATTGACTTTAAGAAAAGACATCGAGGATATGGCTATGGAGTAAGAAATGATATTAGGAATAATATTCTAGAGTTTGCTACTATATTTGACCTAACTATATTAAACATGTGTTTTACCATAAAAAGAATCATATTTAATGACTTTTAGGAATGGGTTAAATGCTAGTCAAATTGATATCTTTTTTTACAAAAACAAAGGATAGAAGTAACTGTAAGGATTGCAAAGTTATAGTGTGTGAGAGTGTGACAACATAACATAGACTATTAATTCTAGATATTTTTCACCTTTAAGGATCAAAGATGATACATTAGAGTCATGAATCACATATTAAATGGTGAAACTTGAAGGAGGATAAAATGTTAGCTTTTAAGGATAGACTGAAAAAGAGGTTGATTTAAAACCTGATGAGGATGTAGAAGTAATGTGAGAAAAAAATTTACCATAATTCAAAGGATTGCTAAAGAGACACTTGGTGAATCTAAGGGTCATACACTATTAGGAAAAGACTCTTGGTGGTGGAATGAGAATGTAGAAATGACAATTAAAGTTAAGTGGTAGTATTATAGAAATATAAGAAGCACTAAGGATGAGGAAAGTAATCTAAAGTATAAGATAACAAACAAGAAAACCAAAAATGTTATTCAAGATTCAAAGACTATGATCCATAAAAAATTATATAGAAACCAATGATAAGAGATGTAGAAAAATAATCATTCAAAATTGCCAAGGTGAGGATAAAAAGAGTAGGGATCTTAATCACATGAGATGCATCAAAGGCAATAATGAAAGAGTTTTAGTGAAAGATTTAGAGATTAAGAAGCAATGGAAAGATTATTTGATAATCCTTTTATTGGTAATTTTGAGCATGATATAGGTGAGCTTAACATACCTTTTAACGATATAAACCATGTTTTTAAATGTAATATTAAAAAATATGAGTTTCAAAAGGCTTTTAAAAAGATGAAAGAAAATAAAAATGTGAAACTAAATGGAATCCATTGAGGTTTGAAAATGCTTAGATGACATGGGGATAGGATGGTTGATGGATCTTTTCAACAAAATTTGATGTCAAAAGATGCTAGAAGAATGAAAAAAAGTACTTTAGTACCTTTATACAAGAATAAAGGTTGTACACAAAATTGGTTGAACTATTAAGGAATAAAGCTTATGAGTCATATTATAAAACTTTGGGAGAAAGTAATTGAATATAGGTTGTGATGTAAGGTCACTATTTCTGAAAACTTATTTGGATTTATGCCAAGACGCTCCATAATAAAGGTAATTCACCTATTGAGGCTTTTGTTGGAGGGTTTTTGGGTAAGAAAAAAAATCCATATATGGTATTTATCGACTTGAAAAAAACATATAATAGAATTCTCATAGAGGTGCTATGATAGGCATTAATAAAGAAAAGAGTTCCTTTAAAGCATATTAACATAGTTAAAGATATATATGAAAGAGTTGTAAGGACATATCCAAGATAAAGTGCCATGGTGCATATTATTTGTTGATGATATAGTCTTTGTTGCTAAAACTAGTAATAATCTTAATGCAAAATTAGAATTATGAAGGCATACACTGAAGGCTTTAAATTGAATAAATCTAAAACTGAATACATGGAATATAAGTTCAGTAGTCACAGGGAAACGAGTGCTTATGTGATTAAGTTGAATGGTGAGATAATACCAAAAATTAGTCATTTTCTATATTTAGGATCAATTATTTAAAGCAATGTTGCGATACAAAGGAATTTAAATCATAGGATTCAAGCAGGATGCATGAGGTGACGACATGCGCCAAGTATGTTGTGTGACTACAACATACCTTTAAAGTTAAAGTCAAAGTATAAAACAATTGTAAGGAGTACATTGTGATATGGAACTTAATGTTAGGTTATTAAGAAATAACATGAAAAAAAAATGAGCAATAACTGAGATGAGAATGCTTAGATAGATATGCGGTAAGACTAGAAGAGATAAAATTATAAATGAAGAGATTCGAAAAAATTAAAGATAGTCCAAATTGAGAAAAAAATGAGAGATGATTGTTTGAGATGTTTGGAAATGTGAAATATAGGTCTATTTGTGCACCAATTAGGAGAAATGAGTTTTTAGATTTAGGACAGACTAAAACTTCTAGAGGTAAACCGAAAAAAACATGGATGTAAGTAATAAGAAATGATATAAGAGTAAAGAAAGTAAATGAAAAGGTTATTTTTTGTATAAATGAGTGGCACAAGAAGATTCAAAACTACAACCTAATATTATTCTTTTTCAACCTTGCATACAGCCAACCCTAAAGTTATGGGATATAAGGTTTAGTTTTTTGTTGTTATTGTTGTTGTTATCGTTATCGATTCAAGTCATTTCAAGTTTAGACTCTATTGAATTAAGGTTAGTTCATATCATTTTTAGTTTTTATATAATGCAACCATTTTAGCATATTTTTCAAATTTGGTAGCTTCGAATTTAGATTATTTTGGGTTTGGATTTTTTTCGAGTTTGAATACTTTCATTTTCAAGTTATTTTAAGTTCAAATTATTTTCTTTGAATTTTTTTTGTCACATTAGATTTGATTGAGTTCAATTTTAAATTTTTCGAATGAAATTTCAAATTCAGATTATTTTATCATCTTCATACAAAACCATAAGCGGTAGTATTATTCACTTGAGTTTAAATACAACATTATTTAAAAAAAGAGATACCTTTATGTAAAATTGTAAGTGAAAATATTGTTACAATTGAACTAAATACAAAGTACTTAAAAAAAGTTACCTCTAAGTAAAAGTATTGTTTGAACATTTTTTATTTAAATTATTAAAATTAAATTTTGATTACTAAAATTTTATTAACATCAATAATCAATAATCATTAATAACTAAAATTATCATTAAGGGATAGTTTTTTTTTAAAACATGTCTAATTTACAAAGAAAAATACTATTTTACCCTTTAATTGATTACAAAAATATCATTTTTGCCCTTTAGAAAAAAAAACTAAAAATATAAATTGTAATTAAAAACGAAGAAAAAAATGTTTTGATCTCAAATCTATGGCTACTATAGGCAAAGCCAATGTTAAGACTCTATTGTCGATGATGACAAAGACATATCCCACAATATTAAAATCAAAAAATTTTCCAAAAAATACTAAAAACACAATTTATCAAATAATAAAAAACAAATCCAAGCAATGTCATAATCTAAAAAACTTAACCAAACACATAAATAAACTTAAATTAAAATACACAAAAAATTGCATATCAAGCAAAGTTAAAGTGAAGGAAAAGAGATTTTATCTCTCGGTTTCAATTTAGAATTTTTGGATGGATTTTGAGGAGTCTGAATGATGAAAACAAGGAAAAGGGTAAAGGAAGCCATGGTGAAAGTTTGGTGGCCAACGACAGCAACAACGATCCTAGATATGATGTTTTCAATTTCGGCTTTGAGCCTAGATTAATGAATTTTTAGGGATTTTTGTAAAAATCTAATCCTATATAAGCAAAAAGAGGTCAAAAGAAAGATTTTATTAATTTTTTAGGAATTTCAAAGGCTAGGCTTGGATTTCAACACACTTTCAATGAAATACGATTAAGTTCACTACATCACTAGTTGAATCTAAATACAAATTTCAATAAAGTTCATTTAGTATAAATTTTTTATTGATTTTTTTTTTCAATTACAGTTATAATACTTTTTTTTCAGTTATAATTATAATAACTTTTATTACTGTTATCATCTCACCATCCATTTAAATAAAGTCTAACACTGATGGTTAACTGTTGATAATGACGAGGATGATGGTTTGACATAAGAAACTAGGTTTAAGGGAATTTAGAGAGACGGTGGATTCTTAAAGAGAAACATAAACAAAACAATAAAATTAAAAAAAAAAAAAAACAAAATGTATTTTATATTGAATTTAACCCAAAAATAAAAATGAAAAAAGTCCGCATGGTGGTCCTGAATAAAACCCGGAACCTATACATCCAATCCGACAGCTGCAAGGTAAGGCATATATACTCGTATATGAACAAATTTTTATAATACAAGGTGCCTAAGCTTTGCTGTTTTTCTGCTTTGCTCGTATTTTCAAAACCATTTTATAGTTTTGTTTCTAAGCATCAATTTATAATTATGCATTGTCATTTCAAGATTTTTTTAAAAAATCATAATTTTAAAATAAAAAATTATAAATTTTTAAATTTTAAATTTATTAAATACCACTTCTTAAAAAATTAATGATCACAAAATTAAGTTAATTTCCTAATTATGCAATTTCAAGATCTTCCAATGTTTTCGCTCTATTGGAATTTTTAAATTAATGGTATTTATAATTGCAATTTAAGATGGTGAAAAAAAAAAGAAATGGTGGGGCTTATGAAAATCATGCAGTCTTACTACTTTCAAGAACTTGACATTTGGCAAGCTCACTGAGAAATAAAAAAAATAAATAAATGGAAAAACCTTATCCTTTCTAACACCACACACCTTCCTACAGGCTGCAGCTCTTCTCCTCGCTGTCCTCACCACAAAAAAAAAACAATGGCAACCCTTCATTTCACCCCCTCTCCTTTTTTATTTCTCGCCAAACCAAAACATCCCACCACAATTTCTACCTCCCACTACCAGCTTAACCCCAGAGCCCGCCATGGCTCTTTCAGATTCTCAACATTCATTGCAAGGTCTTACAAAGTTGTGATAGAGCATGAAGGTCAGTCGACAGAGCTAGAGGTGGAGCCCGATGAGACCATTCTATCCAAGGCGTTGGACTCTGGCTTGCCTGCGCCACATGACTGTAAGCTTGGGGTATGCATGACTTGCCCTGCTAAGCTCTTAAGCGGCTCAGTTGATCAGAGTGAAGGTATGCTTAGTGATGATGTTGTGGACCGTGGATATGCACTGCTGTGTGTATCTTACCCAAGATCAGATTGCCATATCAAGACTATACCTGAGGAAGAGCTGCTGTCATTGCAGTTAGCAACAGCTAATGATTGAATTGTTTATGCTTGATTCAGTTTCTAAAAGGTAAATTTTGATTCCAAAATTGTGTTTGTCGGATCCCTATTCATGACAGGACAATAGTAGGGTTATCCCATCAGTTACTATTGTAATTTTACCTGAAAAATATTAATTTGCATCGTCCATTTATCGTCCATTCAAAGTTCAATAAAATGATTATGATCCAGATTGTGAAGGTGTAGGAGAATGATCCCCAATTGATCCTTCATGTCTGGGGTTCTTCATGAATATAAAAAGTGCACTAGATTTTGAGTCATAATTTGATGATATTTCATGACTTTGTATTATTCAATTCCAAAGTATTAAGATGAAACCAGATAAAAATAAATAAATAAAGGACAAAATTGTACAGAAGGCTCTAATTTTGCAAAAAAGTTGCCATTCCCAACAGCTTAGAAGACTGAAACAGAAACCTTATGAAGATGCAGCCGCTTCATCAACTAACCCATAAAATAACCAAACTCCACTTGACAATCCAGAAGATAAGAGAAGAAAACACCTTCTCCATTACAAAGTGAGTAGAACTGACTACTAGCAAATTTAACTCGGTGGATCAGGGCAGTAATTTCATACATGAATGTAACAGTTTAAAATGCAACTCAAAATGTTGTCAAGATATGATCAAGTGGAGATGATAAAAGAACCAAGACAGGCAAATAAATGCATTTAAGTTGTTGATGCCTTGGCTGCTTTCTTGGGCCTTCTTTGTTTAAGCTTAACCTTCACATTTACACCATTATCAATTATAGACTGAAGAACTATCTGAAGCTTCCCCTCTAATCTGTCCCCTTTCCTTGGTGTGTAAATCACATCATGGATATCATCATCCAGTGCTCTCTGAGCTAAAATTTCTCCCACAGCAGCACAAGCAGATGCATTTCTGGTCGAACCTAAGTCAAATTTCATATCCTTGGAAATCGAATGAGCTACAGCAACAACCTTGCTAGTCGCCCTGTGAACGATGCAGGCTCGAACTGATGCTTTGGATATATAAATGTCCAGGCAAAATGGCTCATGATATGGACCCGTAAGTTGATTAAAAGTGGGAGCCCTAACCTTCTTTTTCTCAACAGAACAAACCTCAAATTTATCAAGAACATTAGTAACACTTCTATTTTTAACAACTTCAAGCAGATTAACATTTGATTTCTCCGTCCTTTTGCTTTTTTTAGGATCATCCTTCTTCTTTAAACGCTCCTTTTCGCTTTCTTTGCTATCATCCTTGTTCTTGGAACCTTTCTTTCTGTGGAAGTCATAAGTATACTCCTCAAACTCTTTGGAGCTACGGTCAATTTTATAAAAGAGACTACCTCGAATTCTCATGTTGTCAATGTCATCAAAGTCTTGATCATCTTCACTTTTAGGAGAACCGTCATCTACCCTTTGACCAACTGCTTCTGTAAACTGTCTTGTTCCCACTTCAGTATCAAATCCTTTATATGCATGAGCTAAACCCGATGAAACTTGCCAGGTTTCATCGTCTACAAGTTCAATATCATAATGACCCAAGTGAGAATAGCTATCATTGAACAAAGGAGAAAGATGAATCCTACTAGAGTAGTTTGTTGATGGGGTTGGCTTGATATCTTCGTTGTTGACAATTGGAGGAAACCTTGAGCAAAAACTGCGGAATCTCAGAAGGAAACCTGAATTCCCAATTGATGGAAATGCAATGACTTTTCTAAGTAAATGCAACGTCATTGGATTGGGGGCTGCTTGTTGGCAGAAAAGGAACAAAATTGGCAGGACTGAAGAAGCTCTCAGTGGCAAATCATCAAATAGTTGGTAGACCAAGAAAGATTTACGTATTGCGAAAACATTGTAAATTGCATTTCAACGTTCCAGGTGTTTGTTAATCAGTAAAGCCTACTTTTATTTCAAGAAACAATCTCCTAAGCTTCTAACGTAGATGGGTGTATGGGTGCACACAGCTGCGGAAAAAGAGAAAGCTGGAGACTGAAATGAAGAAGACTGCTAGTAAGTGAGAAATGAAAATATATAGTTGTGGGATGTCATGTGAGACAATAAGCAGGATGCTTCAGCCTTTGAGGCCTTGGTTCAGGATCAAGCAAACACTTGATTAAAGAGATGACGATCCTTAGGGAAAGGTTGTTTGGTTTGGTGGATTGGAGTTGATCCGTTTAACAGCTAAATTCTGTGGCCTGCGAATGAGGTTTATTTGACTGCCGCTCCGTAGCATCCCGATCTATTTGCCATTTGTTCAGGATCGTTCAAGGTTTATTAACTGGTAATTGATAATTGAAAACAAACTTGTGTATCGGGAACGAATTGTTTTATGTTGCATCTTGTTCATGAGAATATCAGGGAATGAAATACTGAGATTGATGTGAAAATTATCTCTTTTTTTTATTATTTATGTGCAAGATTTTATAAATTATATATTCATTCCTTATTTTTCATTATCCTATTTACAAAAATGGATAAGATCTATTTACATTAGAATAAGAATTATATTTTTTTTTATTTTTAGATGAAAATGACCAAAAATTAGTTTTATGAATGTAATTTTAATAAAAATAAAAAAATATAATTCTTATACTAAAATAAATCTTCCCTCTTAGAAACTTTCACTATTTCCTCGCCCTTTCCATCCATTTTCTTTCTCTCACTCCTTTACATCCTTTTCTTTCCCATCATGGTGTTGATGAAATTGCAAATTTAGTGGTTCACCGTTGCTTCCAAAGTCCTTAAGTAGTAGCTATCTACAGAGCTGAAATTCCTCCTGATTGTTCCAGTATAGATGGATAGAATGCCTCCCCAAAAAACCCTCTCCCCTCGTATCTGTTCCCCTTCTTTTCTCCTCTCAAGTCTTAGCAAAGTTGCCTTAGTGTCATGGTCCTAGATTGAAATGATAAATCTCATATCAATTTAGCATTAAAGTTCGATTTGGCTATGAATATTCATATTACCTTTAATTTATAAATTTTGTTTAGATAAAATCATAAAATTCAACAAATCGAAATAGATAATATTTTACAAGTTAATATGAACGTAATATTTAGTATCAATACTAACTCTAGGTGTACTAATTATTGATATGAGCATGATATTTGATATCAGAATTAATTTTAATAAAAATGGATCCTCTTGAGAATGAAGATTATGATCAATAGATGCTCTTTGAAATGAGAAATATGTTTATGACCCTAAAAAAAATTTATGAATCTCACATCAAATGTATCTTCAAATTCGATTTAAAATATAATTGTTCACATAGGTAAAACATATTTTATAAACACATTTTGTGAGATAGAATTCGTAAAACCTAATGAAATATAGATACCAGAATACCTTACAAGATGTTTAATTATAATGGGCCGGACAATACATTTTAGCTTATCAAACAGATTACAATTTTTCAGACCTAGAGTCCCCACAACAATCCATCTTTCAGAAAAAGAATATGCAAGTTCAAGGGAATCAAACACCATCCAGTAATGAATAAATCATCTCTATAAAAAAAATAAAAAAAAAAAGTTATCACTCGCAAAGAGCCTTCCCGGATGGCATTTGATTCTATTTGAACGCAAATAGTAAACGAGGATGCAAAGGCTCAGAAGATAAACAGAATAACATCTTTCTACAACTAATTCTACAGGGTTGTCTTGAGTTTAGACATTGTTATGATTCCACCGTGATTACTTCACAATCACCTAGTACTAAAAGTTTGATCAACATTAGAAACACAGCTTCTCACCATGGCAAAGCAAGAAGCAGAACATTTATAATTAACACACAGACATCGCTACCATTAAAAAGGTTAGTGATTACAAACAAACCATTTAGAAAGAAACTGAGATTGGTTCGGTAGTCATCATATCAGTGGTTACCATATCCATGGTAGTCATTGTCTATCGGTAGTAAGCCTGCTGATAAGATGGTGCCAAACCATTACCGTAACCGCCATACGCGGGATAGTTCATGGGAGCTCCAGGATAAGAACCAGTGAGGGGAGGAGGGACTGCTTCTGGTGAGTAAGCATAGGGATTGGTGGGTGGGCTCCTGCTTCCATACATGGCAGGTGGGGATGGGTATGCTGGGACTGCAGCAGGGTACTGGGAATGTGATGGAGACCTGACAAATGTAGGAGGTGCAGGAAAAGATGAGACATATGCATTCATCAAACGGCCAGCTTTAGCTGGAGGCATTGGACCACCATTACTAGCCCGCGTTCGCTTGTTAGCAGGGACAGCAGCTGGCTTTCTCTTCTCAGTCTTGGTCTTCTCTAGCTGCTCAAGGCGTTTCTTGAGGTTTTCAGGTGGAAACTCAGCCTCGAGTTTGTACTCTTCAATGCACTTGATGACAGCTCGAAGTGCTGATTGCTCTTTGCGTGCAGCAAGTTGCTAGAAAAAACAAGAAAGCTTACTTATTAATTGAAATGCAATGAATTTAAAGATGCATGTTTCCTTAGATCTAATCAGACGCAATCCCACATCCCTAATCCCCACCACAAAAGAGAAACATGAAATGACAATACCATTCACCCATATTAGGCATCCTTTATTGGAAAAACATCATAGTTTAATTTATAAGCAAGTAGGTAATATGTGACTGAAATAAAACAAAAGAATTAAGCATTCTGCTTACAGCAAACCCCAGGAGAAAAATCCTAGCATCAAACATTTAATTAAGTAAAAATAGATAATCCAAAACAATAAATAGAGTAAAACAAATGATCAGTATGAGTAAATTGGTGTATACCGCAGCCCGGCCAGCATTATTGGGATCGTCTAAAATAGAAGTTGCAGCCTTCTTCGCATCCCTCAAGAAAGATTTCAGCAAGGGTACAGGGGGGAACTTGTCCACAAGGCCAACTTCATAAGTGAAATGAACTGCATCAAGCTGCTGTCTCTTGCTGATCAATTCTTCAATCATGTCTGTATACAAGAATTAAAGGCCTTAGAAACGCATAGAGAGCATCGCTAAAGCACAACAAACCATTACAAGCAATGCTTTCAACGAAATTGGCCATGTTAAGGATTGCATAATGATATAGGCATTAAAAATGATATTGCAAATTAAACATTGAATCTTTACTTATTTGAGTTATTAGCCACATCCATTGGTTGCAACACCAACACCCTTGAATTAACGTTTTTCTCAGTAACAAACTAACAGAACCGTTGACTTCAACAAAGAACTTGATACATATCCAATCCTGTGAACATCTAGCTTCACCTATCTCAACAAAAAGTTCTGGTTGCTATCCTATTTGCACTAAACCACAACAGCAAGCACGCACACACTTCACAACATGCAGTACATAAGTCCCCAAATGCTAAAATTGCTTCACGATATTAGTTCCCTAAATGGTCCTCTGAAGCCACACCATATATCTTCCAAAAACACCAAGCAACAAAATAAAAAATATACATATACACAAATTGGCAACATTCATACCAGTCAAATCACCAATAAGCAAATTACACGCCAACATGAACCATCTCCAAAGCATGTAAGCTTACAAAAGAAAAGGTACATGTTTTACCAACATGTTAAGGCAATATACAATAGCTAATTAACATTAAGGCACTTAACTATGCTAGTTAACTATTGCTGCAGACTCTTCATTATTGTGGAGTACCTATGTCCAGCACATATCAAACTAACATGTTTATAGTGTTTTGCCTAGCCCTCCAAATATATGGAAAAACTTTAAAAAATAATTGAACATACCAGTTAGACCTAACAATTGTGTAACCGTGTTTGTTTATCTTGTGTCAAACACGTATAAAAAGGAAAATTATCGTTTAACGATTCATGTTGACACACTAAAGACTAAATACTAAACATGAAACACATTTTTTTTATTTTTGCCAAATTCATATGATTTTTGCAAAAATTTTAAACTGTCACTTTCGTGCTTTTTCTTTCTTTTTTTCTTTTATGTGTCAATGAATCATTTTTAAAATTGTCAGGTCTAAAACCAGATTCGGATACATACTTTTATCTAACACTCTCTTCCAAACACAATCAATATAAGCTCATAAAATGCCCTAAAAATCTCACCTTTACAACTCTTAAGTTAATTCTGAACGTTATGCAGCCAAGTTCAAATTAACCAGGAAAAAAAAAAAAACCCACTGTCACCACAACATCACAGTGAAACAGAAACATTCCAGTGCTTAACATAAAAACTTGAGTCCTAGAATACAAGGTCCTCTAATAAGCTACACCATGTTTGAAACTCCATACTCTCACTAAAAGGAATTAAAAATGTAATTTCATCAGAAGAAAAAGTAAGCATACCAGGCATTTTATCACCGAGGCCAAGCGAAATGGCAAGTTTAGGCATTTGTTTCCTCCAAGCAGAACCAACAACAAGCTTACTATAAAGCTCCAGATCCTCTTTCTTAACAATCCCAAAGGTAACCAAATGTTGCAAAAAAGTATGAACATCCGGTGTCTTCACGTTCTCAATCCCTCCTCTCTCTTCAAGACTCCTTTTCCAGGTCTCTGCGATTTCGTTCGCCTTCTCCTTCATACTTGGCGTAACAAGCATCCTAGATCTTCCGATCACCGGATCAACCACCACCGGAATTAAGCTTTCCAGAATCAAAACACAAGCCCATCCCAAATCATTTGTTCTCTCATTCCCTCTTTTATCCACCGGAAACACTTCCGATATGGCCTCCACAACGAACCTCGCCGGATCGATGCATTCTGATAAAGCCTCCGGAATTTTCTCTCTTAACAAATCGATTTCTTTTTTTTTGCCAGTCACCAAGTTCCAGAACTCTTTAGCTTTCATTTTCAAGCACGTTGATTTTAGGAGTTGCAAAAGGCCGTCTCCATCGTCAACTTCGCCGTCGGGATTGTCTTCGACGTCGTCGTTAAGGGTTTCCAAGGCAGTTTTTTTATGGAACTCTACTCGATTGAGTGCGATCTTGACGCTGTCATCGATGCTTAGCTCGCGCTTCTTGAGTGAGTCTAGTGAGGCCTTGGTCTCCGAGTCTAGTGTTTCAATTTTGCGCTTCAAGGCCTCCGATTTTCTCATCAGGTTTTGCTCGAGTGAGTTGATGTGATCGGAGAGTTCTTTCCACAGGAGAGTGCAGCTCGTCATCAGAGACGTTTGACGCTGGAACTCGTCGAAACTCGGCTGAGTTAACTCGGTCAACTCGCCTTGATCGGGGATCGACCCCATGGTTGGTAAACTTCTCCCTTTCTTTAACCCGTCCGGTGACTCTGAAGCTGAAACCAAAAGAAAAGAAACAGAAGAGAAACTAGAGAACCCCTGCAACGGAGAAACACGGGATGATAAAAGCTTAAGCAGCGCTGACGTGGACCTTTCAGAATAAGACACGTCTAATGGCGACTAAAAATGATGGTAATGGTCGTCTCTATCCTACACTGTGGGTGTGTATGATAAGGAGTGCGCGTTCCTGACGGTGGAACTAAAATGCGCGGAGTGGGTGAAGGCGTGTAGGATAAGGATAAGGGGGTGTTTGGTTGCGTTAAAAGACATGAGCTAGAGTGCTTTCCCGGATATCGAAGAGAGATCAGAAGAGAAAAAGAAAAGCAAACGGGGAAGAAAAACAGAGAAGGGGGAAAAAGCTGGTGAAAGTAAAGGAGTGGTGGGCCAGTGGGAAAGGGACTCAACATGCCCATATGGTAAGAGTCAGAAAAAGTAAAGACAATAGTTGATTATTGAAAGATAAATGGGAAATAGAGAGGAAAGAATGGATAAGGAAGTGAAAGGAGTGAAAGGAAAGAAAAGGAAATTTTTTGATAAATTTTTAAATTAATATTGAGAAAAAAAGTGATTTAAAATTATAATATTTAATATGATTAGAATTGAATTTTTTATTCAATTTAATTTAAATTTAAATATTAAATATTTTTATTAGATTCATATTAGTTTGTTAATAAAAATAAAAAAAATTCAAAATAAATTATATATTTTTAATAAAATAAAATAATTATTTTAAATAAAAACTTATTTAAATATATTAAAATTAAATTAAAATAATATAAAAAATTAAAAATACAATTTTTAAAATTCAATAAATAAAACTAAACTAATAAAATTTAATTCATATTAAATAAATTTTTTTAAAAAAATTGATTCAAATTTTAATTAATTTTTTAAAATCTATAATATTATATATCAATTAAAATAATCAAATCAAATTGAATCCTTATCGCTCTTAATTGGAACAGAACACGCGCATTTCTTTGTTAAAAAAAAAAAAAAGAAAAAGAAAAATCACATTCAAGGATTGAAGGAAATTTGTTTTAGTTGATATGAGAGATTTGGTTTCTTCATGGATGAGCATGGCAAAATTGGAGTTCATTTTGGGTGGTGGGACCCTCCTTTGAAGGACGTATACTTTTGACACGTGAGCATATGGACCCCATGATGGTGTTTTCCTATGGGCGAAAATTAAATATGGAGAGGGTTAGGTGATTGGTTCCCCAATTGGCATTACGTGTTGGCTCAAAATTTTGAATTAGGTTTTCAAATTCAATTTTTTTGTTTTTTTCTTTTTTTTTTTTTGAAAGTAACGGATGCATTACTTAAATTTAGGTTATGTACGGAATTAAAAATACCAATGCTTTAAGGTGTTACATGCCAGTCACTTATTTTTTATTTTTTTTATTTTTTTAGATCTTTTAAAATATTTGATTTTTTTTTAATTTAATTTTTTAAGATGAGATTCACTTTATATCAAATTTTTGCCTTTTTTACTTTTTTTTACTTTTAATTAATACTTTTAAAAATATTTTTTAGAATTCATTTGATATTTAAGATACATCAAGTGTTTTTTTTTTATTATTTAAAAAAATAAAAATTTTAAAAAATTTTAAATTTTTTTCTACGCCACTTGATATTGAAAATGTCATGTTTGGAGTTATTTATTTTTTATTATTATTTTTTAAAAATTTTAAATTTTTTGTAAGATTCACTTGACGTTAAAGGTACGTGACACTTTATGTTTTTTTTTTTCATAAATTTATAAAAAAATAATATTAATGAAAATGTCCATTTAATATCTTAATTTATTTTTTTTCATATTTTTTTATTTTTTTTAATTAAATTAATTTTATAATAAAATAAGTCATTTAATAAAAATGACAAAACAATCAATAAGTTTTTATCTGACTCAACTTATGTTTTTGTAAAAAATTAATATTGAATCAATTCAAGTTAATTTTTTTATAGAAATAGGAAATGAGTCAAAAACAGATTTATGATGCCATCTCTAATCTATCTTATCGTATATATAAAATATATATTTTATTATCTATTTCATTTAATATTTATATATATGTATTTATAATTTTTTTTTTGTTTAAACCTTGATGTTAAGTGGGACACACAAAAAAATTAAAATTTTAATATATTTTGTGAGAATAAGAGATCAATTTATATATTCGTGTGTCACTCTCATTTGAATTTTTTTTATTTTTTTTATATTAGGTAAATATTTTTAAAAAAGTAGATGACTAAAAATGAAAAAATAAAATAAAAAATGATCCGCAACAACACACGGACACCCATATAATAATAATTAAAAGTTGGCTAATTTCAAATGAAAAATTTGTGTTTTGACATTCAGAGCTTGTAGTTTAATCCAACATTAAGGCTTTGTATGGTACAGTAGATAAAAAATGAAAAAATAAAAAATTAGAAAAGAAGAAAAGTGGAAAGATAAAAAAATAGATTTTTTTTTTTTTTTTGCATTGATGTGCTTAATTGAGAAAATGAAAAAATTGAAAGAAAATATATGCTTGACAGAGATGAAAAATAAAAAATAAAAATTATATAGTTTTACCATTATAATCTTCTTTAAACTAAGGTAAAAAATCTAAAAATTATGAATAATATTGTAAATATGCATCACTTACTCATTTCTCTCTCATTTTCTCGTATCTTTTCTTTTCAATTTAGAATGATTTATATTTGTAAATAAATATGAAAAATAATAATTTTCTTCTTTTTTTCTCTTTCTTTTTTTTCCTACCAAGTACATTTAATTTTTTTTTTTTTTAACTTTTCCACCTTTCTTTATTTATCCTTTTACTTTTTCCCTCTATCATGTGTATCTTAAATTCATAAGAGTTAATTTATAAATTTATATAAATAAACTATCAATTTAGTAATATTAAAATTGATTTCATGATTGAAATTTTTGAATATAAACTTTACTCGTAATTAACAAAATTACAAAAAAAATTATGATTTTATAATTAATGTAACCATCAATTATCCAAAAAAATTCAATAAATTTGAGAAGCGAAATTAGAGTTTGTCAATTTAAAATAAGAAAAAGGTTATGAACTGATCTTGAATATATTAAAATTGAAATTTAGGCAATGTTTGGGCATCATTCCGTCGAGGCACGTGTAACAAAAATATGAATTTAAATCCACTATAAAAGGTAGGTCAATGGATATAAAGTTGTTATGTTAAGATTTTGGTTTTAAATCTTATAAATATAAAAAAATAAATATTAAGAAAGTTTATTTTTTAAAAATCGAATTTAATTCGATTTTAAAATAATAAAAAATTTAAAAGAATCATCCGGTATTAAAAATTTCAAATAAAAAAAGTTTACTATTATAATATATATATATATATATATTTCGTGCACAATCGGCCACGGAGACAATTCCAATCGGAGAAGAAAGATTCCAAGGAAAAAAAAATTATGAAAAGACATAGTGATTAATAATCTTCAAATGCTACTAATTGCATGTTGGGTACAGTTGAAGATACCACATCATCATTCATTTGATTGTTCGCTACTTAATATAGCCAATAAAAGTTAGGCTAACGCTAGAGCCACTTAACCTACGGCTGCTATGGCACCAAAGGGGTATCCCACTTTCAAGCTCCCCCATTCGCACCACAGATTCTCAGTCCAACTCCATCCCACTCATTGTCTCAAAATTTTATTATTATTATTCTTTTTGTTGAAATCACTTAGAAATTCATTAGACTTTGGTTTAAGCATCAAAATAGTATCGTACCATTACCTTTGTTTTAGACTTAGCATTTTATTATCCCCCAAACTTTCATTAAATAGTAAATATATTTCTCTTTGTTTAAAAGTTAAGTTTGTTTGGAATTTGAAATTTAAAATTTAATTTAATTAATTTATATAATAATTTTTAACAAAAATCTTTTAATATATTTAAAATTCAAATTCTACACTTAAATGTTTTTAATTTTTTCAAACTGTAATATTTTTTTATAAATTAAATTAATTTATGATCCGTACAATACACAAATTAACTTTATTTATTCATTTAATATTATTTAATTTATGTGTAAGATATATATAATACATATAATAGTTAATGTACAACATATATATAAATAATAGATATGATAAGATAATAATCATCTTATATTATATTTAATTTGTATATAAAGAAAGGAATATGATTACAAAGAAGATTATCATCTATTTTGTGTGGGATGATTCAATCCTCCAAAATAAAAAGGATTATTTTTAATATATTATATTGAACTTACTTGTTCTATTATACATTTAAAAGTTACATCAATATTTAAATAGTATAAATTTTAAAAATAATTTTGACCAATAAATAAGTTTTTTTATTCTAATTATTTCATATATTAAATATAAGAAAAGATGACATTATTTAATCTAATCATATTCATAATATAATTTTATTTTATCCTATATAATCTTGTATACTAAGGCATAACCTTAATAATAATTTACAACATATGTTGAATTAATTTGTCAAAATTAAAATAGTTATCAACTGATATAAATGTTAATTAAAAAATCAACTATTAAAAAAAGATGGTTATAGAAATAGTAATAAACAAAAGTTATATATTTCTTTATTTTCATTGTCCAATTTTATTTAATATAGAGATAATAAAAGATGATAAATAAAAATTTTAAAAAATTATTTGTCCAAAAAATAAAAAATTGTTGATTCATGATTTACCAATTCAGGATTAGAGTAAAAAACATTAAACATTAAATATTCAATATAATTAAATGAAATATTAAAAAGATGTTATTGATTACAACTTAATTAAAAAGCATATTAAAAAAGAGATTTGACAATTGTATATTGATATACTTAATTTTTAATGTTTATTTGCAACAAGGTAAAAATAGACTTGATTTTGTTTATCTTCTTAATTATTAGATATCTTTATTTGTTTTCATTATTTTCATTTATACTCCTTTATTAGTTCTTTCTATTCACCTTTTTTTTTTTTGAGAGATAATTTTTTTTAAATGATATTGAAAGTCATGCAATTTAAGGAGATATGATGATTAATATATACACTATAACTCAAATAAAGGTTTAAACTATATTCTCTTAAAAATTTTTTCATTATCTTATATTTCATACTTGAATTCATTTTATCTTTTGTTTTTTTAAAAAACCTTTTAATATATAATTCATTTAATTTTAACTATCATGTAACATTAAAAATAATATATCAATGGATGTAATAAAAGGAAATTATCTAAAAATAACTGCTTATAATATTGAGCAATTAGATAAATAGGAAAGAAATTTTAGTTCTTTTTTATTATAATCATATAATATTCTTATGATAGAAAACATGAAGGTGCCAACAATTATTGTTTTAATTATTGTTAATTATGATGGAAAATAATTGTGAATTCATGTATAAAGAACATTACTAACATTAAATAGATTTAATTAAATAATATAGATTTTAGTAATAAACTTGAAATAATAATAAAAAAGCAAGAAATAGAAAATGTGTATTGCGAAAAAATAATAAATTAAAAAATAATTTTGACATTATTCTAATTATTTTATATATTAAATATAAGAAAGATGACATTATTTAATCTAATCATATTCATAATATAATTTTATTTTATCCTATTATAATCTTGTATACTAGGCATAACCTTAATAATAATTTACAACATATGTTGAATTAATTTGTCAAAATTAAAATAGTTATCAACTGATATAATGTTAATTAAAAAATCAACTATTAAAAAGATGGTTATAGAAATAGTAATAAACAAAAGTTATATTTCTTTATTTTTCATTGTCCAATTTTATTTAATATAGAGATATATAAAAAGATGATAAATAAAATTTTAAAAATTATTTGTGTCCAAAAAATATAAAAAATTGTTGATTCATGATTTACCAATTCAGGATTAGAGTAAAAAACATTAAACATTAAATATTCAATATAATTAAATGAAATATTAAAAAGATGTTATTGATTACAACTTAATTAAAAAGCATATTAAAAAAGAGATTTGACAATTGTATATTGATATACTTAATTTTTAATGTTTATTTGCAACAAGGTAAAAATAGATTTGATTTTGTTTATCTTCTTAATTATTAGATATCTTTATTTGTTTTCATTATTTTCATTTATACTCCTTTATTAGTTCATTCTATTCACCTTTTTTTTTTTAAGAGATAATTTTTTTTAAATTATATTGAAAGTCATGCAATTTAAGGAGATATGATGAGTAATATATACACTATAACTCAAATAAAGGTTTAAACTATATTCTCTTAAAATTTTTTCATTATCTTATATTTCATACTCAAATTCGTTTTATCTTTTGTTTTTTTTAAAAACCTTTTAATATATAATTCATTTAATTTTCATTCCTACATGACCATCACAATTGAGAAAGATAAATAAGAAAATATAATCATATATATAGATAAAAACATGAAGGTTTATTAAATGAAATTGGAGCATGATTTGATAAAGATATCGTTGTGATAATTAAATAATCTAGTCAATTTTTAACCAAGTATCCAATTAAAATAAATATATACAAATGGAATGTAAATTAAAAAAGAATTATACTAAAATAAACCTTTTATAATATGTAAGGCAAATTAGAAAATAAAATTAGGATAGAAATTTTATGTTCTTTTTTATCTAAAAAAAAAAGAAAATTCATTATAATCTTAAATTCTCTTTAAAGACAACCAAATAAAAAAAGAAAGAAAAAAAGAAAAAAAATTTCAAATATTGAAAAAAAAAACCATCCAAACAAAACTTATTATCTTCAATTTATTGATTAATTATGATGAACACATTATTATATAATGTGCAAATAATAATAATAAAAAAGAGCTTGTATCCAAAGAGACATTTAACGGATTAAATGGGCATATACAATAGATTAAAAAAAAACTCAAAAAAATCAAGATTAATATGATAATAAATTGAATAATAATTAAAAAAGCAAGAAATAGAAAATGTGTAATGCGAAACAAAATAATAAATTAAAATTGATAGCCATTCATATATTTTTACTTTTGAAAATCATGAGTGATAATGCTTTCTCCTACATTTTTTAGATCTAATTTGCTCTTAACATCATTTGTCACAAACTTTTACAATTTATTCACTATCATCCATCACCACCTTTTACAATTTATTCATTATTGAGATTAAATATTACTGAGGTTTTAATCTTGGATGCTTCCCAATTGCTCTCATTTAATTTTGCATGACTTGTTTATTTATCTCCTAATATTAAATCATTTAGTGATAACGTGTATTTTTATATCAAGATAAAAAATTTTTTGTATAATTTTAAATTAAGATATGTATGTGTTTTAAATTAAGATAAGATATTTTTTATTTTAAATCATAATAAAAAAGATAAGAAAGTTGGTAAACTACAATTACTCAACTACACATTCTAATCAATTTAAATTTACAAGGCTATTTTTATATTAAATTTATAAAACTATTGATTTAAACTGTGTATGATTTTGATGGTGTATGAATTACATAGTTTTTAAGATTAGTGATTTAACTTTAAAAACTATATTTGAATTTTGAAATATATGGGTAAGTGTGAATTATTAAAGTTATTTTATTTTACTTAAATTTAGGATAACATTTATATATATTGAACGATTTAAATGAACTTAACTTTGAAATCTTAAAAGTTAAATAATTGATTGAATACAATTATTTGATAAATAATTAAAATTAAAACATTATTTTATTTATCATTTAAATAAAGTTTAAATGTAAGCCTTTAGAAAATCTACCTAATTATATATTTAAAAATTATTTTATATGCCATTAAAATAAATTATATAAAAAAATTACATATATATAAATCTTATCATATAATTTTATACGTTGTAATATAATATATATTAAATTCGTTCTTAAAATTAATTTTTTGGTTAAGACTTAAAATTTTTAAATTTAGATTATGATATTAACTAGATGAGATTTATGAAATATAAAAAAAAAAAATTGAAAAACATAATATCTAATATATATAAAAAAAAAAAAAAACTATATTCGAAATAACCTTTAAAAAAATTTAGCATTTTATGCTCGCATAAATGCTTAGATGCATGAATCCCTAACGATGTGATTTGCTCAAATCAAGTGATTCAATGGCCAATATGACATGGTTCATAGCACACAATAATCATAATCATTACAAGGAATAAAACATTCAAAAAATAATATCCTGAGTTATCAACTTCTTTACGTTAAGGATCCGATAATCGATGCGTGCATCATGTACAAACAAGCAAGCAATCAGCCTAAAGCGTCTTGGCAATGAATCCTGAGAAAGTGATTAATCAAATCATCACACCGATAGCCCTGTTCCAAACCCTTTTATTATTTAAAGAAAAACCAACAGTAAAGAGAAAACTTCTGACTTGTTTGCATTATTGTTCCCTTAATTGAATCAGGCAGAACGAGAGGCCATGGTGGATATAAATAAAAAAGGGACACAATGAACACCATTAATGCCATGTGGTGGTAAAGCTAACCCTGTCATTGTTGTCTTTAGGGCTGCCTTTTTCTTTTCCAATGGAGAAAACAACTCTAATGTTGGGTTCCTAGTATTAGCAAAACCGTACAACTAATTCGGAATATCAGGACAATAACTAAACCAATCGAATTTGTTCACTACGTTTTTTTTACATAAAATAAATATAATAAAAAAGTACAAATTGGCAAGTCTAACTATTATATATGCAAAGAAGATAATTTTCTCTCCAACCTTGCTAATTTACAGTCCATGTCTGCAAGATCAAAAACCTTGTTTAAAAAGCTGCCATTTCTTTGGAGATGAATAAACTAACAATGTGACAAGATTCTAAAAATTCTAAGCATTAGCAATCTTGTTACATTTTCGACAAGCAGAGGGCAGCCAGCTAAACACCTCAATCAAACAACACGACCCTGAAACTCATTTTCCGACAACATGAAGTGGCTATATCTATGGGCCAGATATTCACAAGATTAAATGACTATAAATTAATATATTATAGTACTTTGCAATGTTAGCCAGAAGCTATTAACTTGGTCCTTTATGCTCTCTCCGACTCTCAATCACAACCCTCTTCCTCATGTCAAAATCAACCTTGTCTAAATCAGCAACCGTTCCGAGATAGCCATAAAAGATTCTCTTTTTTTCTCCAGTCCTCTCATCCACCTTCACAAGACTCGGATTTCTTTCATCATCCTTGCCTAAAATCAAGGGCTGTACATGGGACCATCCCTTGCGGCCACGGTTTTCCTTTTCAAAGTATTCAGCAAGCCTGACAGCATCCTTCAGGCCTGTCTGATCACCGGCAAACTTGACCACTGTAATACCCAGATGACCTTCTCTACCATACATGGCCTTTGACTTGCCACTTCCAAATCCAAGATCTGAAAGCACAAGCATCAGAGTAAAATGAAATATTTCGAAATAAATGAACTTATTGAAACTTTTAAGCTCATGGTGATGCACATTTGGAATATCATTTGTCCAAGTTGATCATGATATCGATTCCCCAAATAGTCATAGAAAAGCATCTTCTAAAATCAACAGCAGACAACTCAAATAAACAAAACATATCCGAGTAACAGACTACGTTTTTCCTGCCAACATAAGACCCCTCAAAAAGTTTTGCTCTCGTAGCGGCTAATGACAGGATGTGAAAGCACTCATATGGTACAAGTCAAAATATGTAACAGACTGGCTCACTTATTGGGATCAGTCAACAAAAACAAATAAAAAGAGAGGTCAAGAACCCACTGTCACTGGCTGGCACTGAACAGTAACACAATTACATGCACTCAGCCAACCACCTATATATTTCATTCTAGAACACGAATTTCAATAGGTGAAAAAAAACTTGGTTCCGAAAAACATAAAGATGACAAATAAATTTATCCACAATGCCTAGTACGACAATATAAGCAATGACAAATATACAGCAATCCAGATTCCAAACTTCAAGGTGATCAGATAGAAAACTATAAAACACAAAAAAGTAACTTAACGGAGTAAAAGACAAGTTTGTGAATCACCACAGACAAGTTTAAAGTAATGTAATGAAAGAAAGAGGTTCCTATCCATAAGGTCACGTTAGAACATAGCTGCATGCATCTCTGTGTAAGGCAAAGATCCTCTAATGGAGATATACACTACTTTATCTCAAGGTGATTAATGCACTTTCAACTACATCTATGACTTATATTTATTCAAATCATTTCCTTTTCAATTAATTTTCTTTTATCTCTACATTCAATTTAAGGCCATTAAAATTTCAGCCATACATTAAGTTCAATGGGAATTGGTCACCCTAAGGTAAAGTAGTTGACATCTCCGCTACCGTGGAGAGAATCTTTACCCGTGTGCCAGTTATGTTAAGGGGAAGGAGGAGGGTTGTTTTAGAGAGAAGAGCAGGCGGCACCCATATGCTGCTAGTGGTTTTATAATTGTACAATGAATGATCAGGCATGCAAAAAATCTAATCACAAGGACAGACCAAGAAAATTTGACAATGAAGATTTAAGTATGCAAAAATCAACATTGTAGTGAATATTTATCAGTGAGAGACGGATGCCCACCAAAGGTCTAGTGAACCATAATGAAACACAACAGTGTAAATTATAAGACTAATGACTAGTTATCTCAAATATGATACCTTACTACTAATGCTACCTCATTCAACAAAACAATATTATAATTGGACATTAACGAGGTCTGTCGTGCTTATGTGAAACCTCTTTTGTGGGCCTATTCCTGTGGTGCATAGTGGCCTTGCCCAATGCCCACTCTTCCTCCCCCCCACCACAGAAAGAAAAAAGAAAAAGAAAACCCTCCCTTTATGGTCATTACACAATTATAAGCAATAAAAAGAAAATACAATATCTTCCTTGCCACTGCCGAAAGACAATACAAAATTCAGAATACCAACATTGCAGCAGGCTACAGAAACACAGTCCAGAATACAATTAGACATACCTGACTTGAGAATTACTATCCGAAAAAAAAAAAAAAAAAGAACTTCACGAAGAAACCATAAGCATTTGGTATTTGAAAAAACAAAGAAGGCATTTTCTCCTACATTTTACTTAAGTAGTCAACTAAATGGATGTCAATCTGCAGCTGTTGGAGGAATCTTAAAAAAATAGAAAAGCTAAACATTATCTATAATGGAAACCTGCCATTCTCTTGTGCCCATCTTCTCTAAGCATTTTATCCACGAAAGATAGAGGAATGTTGCCGATATCAAAATTTTTTGTCCCCTTGAGCATCATCCTAGCATTGTTTCCAGTAAATGCAAAAACAAATATCCACAACTCTAAAACCATCAATTTAACTGTTACCAACCAAACATGCCTAAAACTGGCAAAGCCTGACTAGCAACACAAACCTGCAGTTTAACTATTCATACGCAGGTTGAAGTGGGCTATGATTAGCAACAGTGCTTGCAACACGAAACAACAACCAATATTAGGAATATGCACACATCAAGAACCACAGACAAGGTAAAATACAGTCAACATCGTACAGAAGCTCTCAAGAGAACAAGTAAATTTGGAATTATGGAATCCTCTAATCTGACCATGACAGGGCTATGGCTCTTCCTGAAACTGCCATAGTTTCCTCTAGACACAATTAAACCAGCATCCATGAATTTCAACAAAGTAAATCTCCTCAACCCTCACAACCTTTATATCCCAGTCGAACAAGAATACCAACAGCAAAGCAATCTATGGCTTTCTTAACCAAAAACAAATTAGCAGCCCAAATGAAATTACAAACTAAAAGAAAATGTGACTTGATACTGATCAGGCGTGACTGCACTATATTTTAAGAGATAAGAAACTTATTGCACATACTTGAATGATGTCCCCTTGGTATTAATATTTACCACCACAACAATCAGAAGAATTAAACAAGCAAATACATGAGGGTGATAAATTGCAAAGATGGAATTCAAGAATTTCAATAATGATAAAATACTTGTATATTGAATATTGCAACTTTATTGAATACCGAAAAGGTGACATTCAGAATCAATGTTCTAAAAACTACAGTCATTAAATTGTAACTCATAAATAGCAAAAAGGCAGAAAAGTTGACATGGGACAAAGAGAAAATTAAACCATAACATTAGTGCAGCATAACCAAATATATAAATAGACGTAAATAAGATGAAAAGGTTTGGGAACAGGTTTCTGGGACATTAAATTTTTAGAGCTCCAAGCAAAAAGGTTGTTAAATGACAGAAAATTGTTGATGTTTTCATAGGAAAATATTGATACTGACACGAGATAAACTCTATCTTGACTCAAAACACATAAATTTTACCATCAAAGATGCCTATATAACAAATATGTCCAAACTCAATGAAACGCTAAGAATAAATAATTTACTCATCTACCAATAACACAGAAGCATGCATAAATAAACTTTGCATTATGTTATCATAAGCACAAAATCAAAGTTGAAGTGGAGGCAAGCACGGCTGAGGTGGAGTCAATCATGTCAGGGTTTTAAACTCCCTTGCCTGCCATTTCTTAATAAATTTCATCTTCACACCAAAACAGAGGAAGCCAAGCTAATTTCTTCAAAACCAGATGGTTTCACCAGGTTATAGGTTCAAATAGGTAGGTCAAAAAGGTTCCAGGATATTTTATCAAGCCAGTGTTTTGATCTGGACTGCAATTAAGACCAGTTTGAGGACTATCTGCTCAAACTACCTAGTCCAGTCCAATTTTTAATAATATTGGGTAAAGCATAAATCAATTGAGCAATCATAACTAAAGCTTTGGCAGAAATTGAATCAGAGCATCAGATCCATATGACCAGCTTGGCAGGAAATTTTCTACAAAATTGGTATTAATACAGAGACAAAACTTGGACCCACTTATAGGTTAGATCAAGCACAACTTGGCCCATTACCAAGTCCATGTCACACAAACATGGTGCAAATCCCATCAGGCCGATCCACAAAAAATAACGCTTTGCGATAGCGGTTAGAGAATTTAGAGCATCAATCAAAGAGGGAGAAAAAATGTAAAGGAATTGAAAGAGAGAGTCAGCACAAGACAAATTTAAGACCTTAGTAAGTGCAACTAAAGGTTCAGGATTGGCCACACTGACCATTCAAGCAAGAAACAGTGAATAATAAGCACAAGCACAGTCAGAAATATTATCCACAACTGAGGATAACATATATTCATGTCACACTTGTAATTAAAAGGATTGAACGAAGCAAAAATGAAAGAATCAGCATGCACAAATTGCTGTCCCAAATTTTACCTAGTACTAGAAGGCAAATGAAGAAATCAGCATGCACAAAATTTCTATCTCAATTCTCAGAAAATTTCATAGTATTAACCCCTCAGTTTATTTTGCATGTCAGTTGCTTTCCTAGGTTGCTAGATAGATAGCTTCATGAGTTGGAAAGAGTTCTCAAAATGACCCTTTACTCATAAGTTTCACAATGTCAATAGAGATAACACAGTTGTGCAGTATCCACAAAAACTTGTGTTATACAAAATGGAATCGGAGTAATCTAACGTGAAATTTGACTAATAACAAATTATAACTCGTCTATGCACTATGAAAACATAATTATAAAACTTAAATGGAAAGAGAAGGGGAACTAATTAGATAAAAAGGATTTCCTAAACAAATCACTAACCACCATGGAAAACACCAATAATAATGAAGAATAATGGAGCACATTATACCTCTTAGTTTGCTATCCATTGCCTTGTTTCCCAAACCTTCCATGCGTCCATCTTTGCCCTTTCCCGTAATTGTATTATGTACTATCACCACAGGAGGCCACATAATCATATCCTCTTGGTTTGAGGCTGCTTCATTTGCAGGTAAGAACTGATAGGCCTTTGAATTATCAGGAGGCTTCGAGTAGTTCCATCCCATTAATACGCAGAGAGCCTTGTGTAGGCCTAAGTGATCCACACGCAAGTCAGCATTATCTGAGTAGTACGTGTGCGTTATCAGACCATGCATATCAGGGAAGTCTTTAGAGGACCTGTAATTTTGCATATCAAGCACATTGAAGAATAAAACTCAGGTTTTCCTCTCATACATCGCTATGAATTAGCCTATAAGATTGAACTAGGGCAATGAGCAAAAAATATTTAGCAGTTTGAAAATAAGTTGAACACATAAAAAGGGCAGAAGTAATGTGCATGGCATAGAGCCAATATATTGAACCCTGTTATCCGAGTAGACTGCAAGCATCATGTAAAAACTTGCACAAAAAGCAAATTGGAACACTGGATTATGATAAACCTAATCCCTATGATAGCATTTCCACACAACCATTTCCTACTTTCTAAATCATTGGAAATAAGGGTATTGTCATCACCCAAAAAATAATCATTGTAACAGGGTTTAAGGAAGAGAGGGGGAGGGGAGAGAATTGCAGTTTGATCTAAATGGGCCTCCCTAATAAGCAATAATTAAAAAATAATGAAGGTTTCAAAAGCCGTAGCTTTGACAATCATAATAACGGGCAACCGATCATATGTAGATTTTGAACAAATATACAGCTACACAGGATGTCAGATCTCGACATCAGCACAGCATTAGACTACAGACTTGCAAAAGTTGAATCAAGACCATGAAAATTTTCTCTTGCATGCAGGAGAAGTGTATCAAAGAAAAACAAGCATATAAGGTTAACATTTGGTTCCTTTGATATGAACCAGATATACACTCTTTATACACCACAACTTTCACTCTCTACTTCATGATAAGAAAATAATAATGAGGTTTCTATTTCCAGTACCGCAAGCAATACAAACAGAAAGATGACTCAATAACCTTAAAGCATGGCAGCAAACACAAAGGAAAATCCTGCATGCTCTGTATACATGCCTGCATGTGAACATTATACTTAGTAGATAAAGCAGATAACACTAAAATTCAGAAGAGCTTACAGCTAAATTCAAACAAATGATAATCACCCAAAGGGCCACTCTACGGAAAAGTAGCCAAGTACCAAAAAACTAAAGCACCCGAACTGCTGCATGCAAGTTAAAGGCAAGAAAAACAGAGTAAGAGACTACTTTCATTACTTTAACTTACACTTAGCAGCCTTCAACTTCAGTTTTACTAATAATTTAAGTTAACTTGTATCAACTAAAAAAAAGAATGGCTATAACAAATTACCACTATCAGGCCAGCCCAGCTATGTCATGGGGGTGAGAAGGAAGTTACAATCTGGAATATGTTAGTACCAAGCAGCAGGTAATATCAGCCATAAACTACTAACAACCAAGCCAAAGGAACAGACCTCTACCAGGAATATCCAGGTAAAAGCCCACAAAAATCTAAGATAATTATAACACACTCTTATAAAAGATAAGGTAATTATAATATGAAAAAAAAAGTGCAATTCGGCTGCAACCTACAAAATCATGATGAAAAGTACTTGAAAAGGGATCTGTAACCCCCTCGCTTTCCAAAATCAACTATGCACATGCTAACTACTCAACATTGTGACAAGTGAAACTGCAAATAGTATGAGAATCATGAAAACCGATGGCAATCCAAAAATTAAATTATAATATTTTATTGAAAAGAAGGGAAATCTAATATTAAGACCCATCATTAAAACCACATAACCAAATATGAACAAGTAACCATACAGGAGACAAGGAGACCATCAACAGAAAAAAGGAACTGCTATAATACAACACATATACCAGCTATATCATCTCCCAGACAAATTTTCAATTGCATGGCTAAATAAACTGATGTAATTACGTACCACTCCAGACACTACTGTATCAAAGCATAAGATAGAGAAACAACTATCTTTTACAATCTGCCCATCATTTTATAAATAAATTATGCTTGAGTCATTTCAATTGCCCACAATGAAGATTCATCAACACAACAATCCAGCACCCAAGTTTGCAAGCAAAAAGTCAATTTTCACTATTATGATGAACAAGTAGGCTGACTCAGATGTTTGATATATAATCTTAATAGGAAATAAGACAATGCAATGCTACACGGGAAGAAATTATTAAACCAGTTATTAAAAAGGCAAGCAGCCAAGCTTAACTATGCCACATACAAAGCAAACCAGCAAAAAGATTATAGCAAATCCAAGATTTAAGTTTTAGATAAATGGATCAGATAAAACACCTTAACCTAAAAACCTAGTAATGTCAGATTGTTGAGAACTTGACGGGCCCACCATTTATGAAAGGAAGACAACTCTGCTTCAGCATTGCTTCATTAAACCGAATTTAACAAATATTGTAAGTACTATCAATAAGCTATCTACTTATTCAAAACTTACCGTTAAAAACTCAACTGTTAATCATTATTAGTAATGGTTTATGCTATAAAACATCTATCAAAAAGAAAACAGCATTGTTTTCTACCCAGACATAATCCAAAAGAATAACAATTGACAAATATTCATAATTCTAGAAAGAAATTGGCAACAACATCAAACACACACAGCACCGACCATGATTTCAGTGCTATTTGCCCAAGCAAATGTCACACAAGTCAACTGAACACAAATTGAAGACAGAAGGCATTTGTATCCTTGAGTCAGTATCAACTACCACCTCTAAACTATTAACAAAGCATTGCATACAATACAGCACTCTAGAATGAAATATTAAAATGTTGACAGGCGCATAACAAGTAATATAACTAGTTGCATCACCACACATTATGTAAGAACTAAAACAGCTAAGTAGTAAAGAATTCCATTTTGATCTCAAAGGACGATATGGAATTCAAATAATCCAAAATAACATTCAAAAAGTTAATTCCAATTCAGAATCAAACCCAAATTTATAATCAAACCTGCCACAAGCCAAGCATTGAAGCCGCCCTTGTTTCCCATCCTCCAAGTAATTCGTTTTCTGCGTTGCATTCTCAAAAACAGCCTTCACAAAGTGCAAAAACGCCTTCTTTAGCGCGGTTTGATCCACTTCCAAATGCTTATTATTAAACCCCAAATTATTATTTTCAAATCCCCCACCAACTCTCATATACTTGGCCGCCCTCATTTCGTCATTTTGAAATGGGTTATTCGTTCCAGCAAGGCGGTCCGGCCGGCCTGGTCCCAAAGTGTAAACCTTCGCATTCGCAAGCCCGAACCTTTGCTTTGCTAACTCTTCCTTCTTCTCCTCTCTTAAATCTTTTTCTTCTTCGCCGTACTTTCTCTTTAAAAGGCCAAGCCCGTCCCCCGGGCCATTCCAATAATCACGATTATCGCGGAAGCCCAACGGTGGGCTATCGAAGTCGCGAGGTCCCATTAAGGGTCGGGTCGGAAAGTCTTGGTAATCGGGTGGTAGAGCAAAGTAGGAGCGGACGCTGCCATCATAGAGAACGATTGTCTGTCGCTCAAGCATGTGGAATCCGTATGCCGGTGGAGGTGGAGGGCCTAGAGCGGCGGGGTCCGGGAACGGGAAGGAAGGAAGGGGAGGCTGGGATTGATTTGGGTCGGATTGAGATTTGTTTTGGGCAGCGGAGCTTGGGGATGGGCCGGTCTTGGGGGAAGGATTGGGCTTGGTGGAGGATTTGGGCTCAGCGGTGGTGGAGGAGGGGTTTTTGTTGGCAGTGGAAGAGGAAGATTCCCAGCGGGATTTGCGGTGGTTGTTAGAGGAGGATGACGGTTGTTTTGGCGGGTTCGGACCGGCCATCCTCGGAAATTTCGTTGCTTTTTAGGGTTCTGTTCTTTAAGGTTGTGTCTTTGGGTACATTTAGGAAACAGAGGAGGAAGAAGCTGCTTGAAGACGTACCTTGTGAGCCAACAACAGAACAAAGAACGTTCTTCTTCGCGTTTTTCGTCGTTACTTTTTGCGTAAAATACCCAAATATTCACTCCACTTTAAGGTTATTTTAGGTATTAATTTTTTAATTTAGTAACTTACATTGGAGTAAGCCTTTTTTTGTCGCCGAATAATTATTGTTTAATGACGCACTAATATGATAATATTATGTGAACATTGTTACGTCAGTTTTTAAGACATTTTTAGAAAGTCACGAGGTATTGTTGACGTGCTATAATAAATTAAAATAAATAAATAAATTTTGATTACAATATTTTAAAAATTATTATTTAGATTATTCAATTTTAAAAATTTATAATTTTATCATTAATAAATAAATTTTCAATTGTTATAGAAAATAAAAATAAGCATTTAATATTTTTATTGTGTGAAATTAAATTAAATTTTTTTATTTTATTATAATTATATAATTTAAATTTAAAAAATAAATGAATATTCATCCAATTGTCAAAATTACTAAACTAGCATTGTTTAAATATTTGTAATCTAGTCTATCTATATAAGTTCAAATAAGTATTTTATATTTCATAATACCAATATTCTAATTATAATAAAAGTTCATAATATTAATTCTATGTAATAAAATATAGATAACACATATTTATTATAATTAAAATCTTGACATTATAAAATATGAAATTTATTAATATTTTGGTCACTAAAGTTTGTAAAATTTATTAATATTTTAGTCTTCATTGTTAATGATTTATTATCACTGTAAATTTATAATGAGTTGATCGCCAACATTTATGAAATTTAATATAATTTTATTTTTTGTGTTACCTATTGAAATTTATTTGGAAAACATTCAAATAAGTCATTGAATTTTTTATAAAAATAAAAATTTAATATTTTTATTGTATGAAATTAAAATATGAACATTTATTTTATTATAATTATACCATTTAAATTTGAAAAATAGAAGAATATTAATTATTTTTCAAAACTATTAAAATATTATTACTTCAAATATTTATCATTTAGCTAATTTAAATAAATTCAAGTAACTATTTTAAATTTTTATATTTTGATTATCAATATTTGTGAAATTATTAATATTGATATCACTCTTAACGTAACATTATAATGATTTAATCACCATTATTTTGTGAATTTTAATATAATAAATTATTTTATTTTCTTATCTATATTTCTTTTAATATTTTATTACATAAAATTAAAACTAAATCTTGACATTATAAAATATGAAATACTTAATTGAACTAATTTAGATGAGCTGGATGACAAAAATTTGAAGTAACATTATTTTTGTAATTTTTGCAAGTGGATAATATTCGTTCATTTTTTAAATTAAATAGTATAATTATAATAAAATAAAAAAATTTATAATTAGTTCTATGCAGTAAAAATATCAATTACTTTTTTTTACTTTTTTATAAATTTTGAGGATATATTTATTAATAATTAAATTATAAATTTTTAAAATTTAATGGTCAGAATAAAAATTTTTGAAAAATTAATTGACTAAAATTTATTTTTTCTAATTTTATAATGCCATGTGGCTTGTCAGATGACGTGGCAGTGCCACATGGTATTTCTACATTAACATCATTAGTCACTAAAGTCACTAATGAGTGAGTGACAAAAAAATCACTTACTCAAATTTAAGTGATTAAATTGAAAAAAAAAAAACTTAAATGACTATTTTAAGAAACCCTAAAATTGAGTGATCATTAGTGTATTTTACATTACTTTTTTTCTCTTTCAAAATAATAAGTAAAATAAATTTAAGCTGTATTTAAAGCTAATAAATTAAAGGGTTAATTACAAAAATGATCCAAATACTATATATTTTTTGTCAATTTGATACTTAAAAAAATAAAATTCTCATTTTAGTTCCAAATTTTCATTTTGTCAAGTACTTTAGTACTCTCAACTAACACTGTTAGTAAGTTGCTTAGTGACAGTAACACCTAATAAAATCATGATATGTGTCCAATTATCAGCACATCATCTATCTGTTACATCAACATTTAAATAAAAATTCAAAAAGTTAAGAAAAATGTATTTTTAAAATTTTAAAATTTTCTTTGACGTAGTGGTAACTGGACAATTTATGATATGTGATATAATTTTATTAAAAATTTATGCCACATTAGCACTAAACTGACGATAACAGTGCGAAGAACCAAAGTGCTTAATGGAATAAAAATTAGAGTACCAAAGTGAGAATTTTAGTTTTTTAAGTATTAAACTGATAAAAAATGTATACTACAAGGTCCATTTTACATATTGAACCTAAATTAAATTTCTTACAACATAAAAAATTCCATTTACTTTTATTTATAGGCCAATAAAATCAATTGTTATTTTACAAAATTGATTTTTTAAAAGCATTGAACTCTTAATTTTGATTAGCAAGTTTCAAATTTTGATCATTTTAACTATAAAAAATAAAATTTTTAAAGTAATTCAAATTTTATTCTTTAAACAGGATCATGCACTCACTAATTAAATCAAATGCTTAAATGCGAAACAAAATAGTTGTTGATCAAAAACAAAAAAAAAAATTATCTAATTCAAATAGGAAAAGTATATTTACTTATGAGATTAACTCAATACTCAATTTAGAATAGAAAGTTTAAAAGTTTTCCCAATTAAATATATTATTTTTAATTTAATTCAATCAAAGATTAAATATTTTTGAATTAACTCAAAATATGACCCCATAACAATAATGAATTACATGTGCTCTTTAGTAGAGCAAAACATACTATGTGTGAAATGCACTTGAATTTTAGGAAATGTTTTGTGTGTAATCTGAGAAGAATTTGTGTTAAAAGATTAGGGTTGTTATCAATTGACTTTTCTAAAGTGGTAATAATGGAGGTATTTTTCATTGTTATCAATATATCAAAGCAAAGAAGAAAAATTGAGCAGAATATTCAAAGAAAATTCAAAAGCTGAGGAATACCTATTAATTTAATCTAATCAACTTAATTTGCATACCCTTTCGACTCAAAATTTGAGAAATTGCAAATATTTGAGTTTAAGTGCTTACTTACTGTTCCAAACGTAGATTAACACCACTAGCAATTGCCAGAAAACCCTTTCATGGAAAGCCAAAAGAAGGAAAACAAAAGAGTAAAAAAAGAAAACTTTTTTTTTCATTGGCGTCGCAATTTTCAAGCATTTTTGGTAAGAGTGAATTAGATATCTCTTTCTCTAAAAAAAAAAAAAGAAAAAACTTTCATTTCCCTCTAAACCAAAAAGCTAGTCCTTATTTTAAACCTAAAAAATGCCACATCATTGACCTTTTGCTGCCAGTCACCACTGGTCAAGCCATCGCACGCTGTCATTGCTACAATTATGTTGATTACAAGCCTCTTCCGTTGCTGCTGCTTCTATCACAAATAGTTGCATGGATGGTGCCTTTTTTTTTATTTCTCTTTCTTTTCTTTTTGCCTAATCTCCTCTCTTTTTTCTCTTTTTTTTTTTTATAAACTAAAATTGAAAATGATATTGATTTTTTTTTTTGTTTTTGCAGGATATGCTTGGCGCTAAAGTTCCTATCTTTGGGGACGACTGTGATATATATTTTTTGATTTGTTTTTCTTTTTTTATTATTGTGATAGATTTCAAGTGGGTTTCTTTTTTTTGTGTTTTTTTTGTAGGTTGGTTTGAAAATGTTGTTTTGGTCTCAGTGGTGGAAAAATGAAAGGGATAGGATGTGAGTTTTTTTTATGTTTTTGGTTTTGGTCTTTAGAGAGGCTGTTGGTGGTTTTTATCTTAGGGATAGTTTTGGCTGGGGCTGAGTTCTTTGATTAGGTTTGGGACTATAAAAAGATCGATTTGGGTGGTGGTTGCTAGTATTGGTGCTAAGAGTTAGAGTCTTAGCTAAGGTTGGTGACTTAGGTACCAGTGAAGAGGAATAAGGACTTAGATTTTCTTTCAGCGATTGGGGTGGTGGTGGGTGTTAGTGTTTGGGTTGCAAAGATAGGATTTTACAATTGAGGTTAAAGGCAAAGAAGGTAGTGGTTAAAAGGCGAGGCCAAATGCTAGTGTCAGCTTTTTACAAAAACTGGCGTAGAGTTTGGGAAAGGTTGGAGTTAGGTGGTGGAGCTGGTGCTTATGGCTAGTATAGATAAGTTTTGGTGTTAGTGAGAATGTCAGTTAAGGCTAGGTTAGGGTGTTTTAGAAGGGTTGATGCTTTCTTTATGATGAAGTTCCTCCCTTTCTTTTATTTGTGAATGGCTGTAAAATAGTCCAATGTTGGCAAGGTAATAAAGTAGGGTATTCAGCAATTTGGCTTGTTATAGCAGTAAGTTGTCGGTCATTTCTTCATGTTTTGTATTTTTTGTTTTCTTGCATTTTTTTCATTTTTTAAATTAATTCAATAAATAAAAAGATAAGAACAATAACAAACATAAAACAATAAAAATAAAATTGGGTTTTGAAATTTAATTTGGACTTAAAATAAAAGTTTGGGCATTTATCGGCCTTCAAGTCCAAATAATTAAAATTTGAATTAATCCCGATTAAATTAAGCCTTAACTCAAATAAAATTAGATTTGCAATTAATTCGAAATAAGCTCTAAATGAGTTAATCTAATTAAAACGCCTTAATTGGCCTAAATTGAATTATTCAAATCAAGTTTTAAAATAAAACAAAGCTGAATCGATCAGGACAAAATTAGATATCTATAACTATCATTTTTTTTTTACCTTTCATGTTTTTTAGTTTTTTTTTATTTTCATAAATTTTGCAACAAAAAATCGACGAATATGTATGGCAAAAAAATTTTGTTGACTCAAGACAACGCATTTGTATCCACCAGTAATAGTTAAATTTTGCTCATGTTTGAACTTTACTAGGAGTTTCACGTGTAACATTTTTTTTTGTTTTGCCTTTTTAACTATTTTTTTTTAACCTCTTTTCATATTTCTTATATTTAATTAATATTTTTTAAAGATTAAAATTTTAAAAGTTAGACTTGCTTTATACCAATTTATTTTTGCTTTTTCTTTTTTTTTTTAATTTTGATAAATATCTTTTAAGATTTAAATTTTTTTTATGTGAAACCCACATGATAGCAAATGTAGGTGATGTGTTTACTAGTTTCAATTTTTTTTTCAATTATTTTTTATATATCTAATAAATATTTTTCAAGATTTTATAATTTTTTTGTCTAACACACACTAGGCATCAAGGAATATGCTATATCTCAAATCATTTGCTTTATTTTTTTTAAAAAAAAATTCTCTTTACTTTTTCTTTCTTTTTCTCCTTTAAATACTTAATGAATTTTTAAATATTTTAACATTTTTAATGTCGGGCTCATTAGATATTATTGATTAATTTTTTTTGTTTTTTTTTAATTTGATAATTTTTAAAAAAATTATGGAAGTGTCGATGTCACATTCGACTATGATTTCTTGTCTTTTTTCCATCCTTTTTTTTTTGTTTTTTAAAAATCATTATTGTTAATGTAATGTGACAACTCAACTTTCTTTTTTCTTTTATTTTTTCTGTTTTTTTATTTTTTGTATTTTTTCTTCCTTTTTTAAATTAGATCTTTTTTTTAAAAAAAAAAAGGTGAACGGATATGTACACATGGCATCATATTTCTTTTTTTTTTTTGCTTCACCTTTTTGTTTTTATTGTTTTTTAATTAGATAACTTTTTCAACAATAAAAATTTTGAAAAAAATGTTAATGAAGGTATGGATGACAAAACAATATGTATTTGAAAGATTTTGATTCATCATGATCCAATAATTTCATTTTTTTTTATGTGAGATCGATCAAGTTTTTTTTTAAAAAAATTGGGATCAAGTTGATTCGAGTTTTGGGTTTTCACCTTGCTCAAATATATATAAATATAAGTTTTATTATTTATTTAATTTTATATTTATATATATATGTATTATATTAATAAAATTATTACTTAATACCATAATATAATAAATCCACGTGTTGTTCTCATTTGATTTCATTTTCTTTTCTCTTTTTTTTTTTCCATTTCATTCTCAAAAATTTTTTAACTTTAAGACAAATGTATTATGTTGTTTAAAATAAATTATTTGTCATAAAGAAATTGATTTAAAATAAATAAAATAAAAGGGCAAAAACTAAAAATGAGGATATTTTTAATATTTAAAGTAAATTTTGAATAAAAAAAGTTTTAATGGAATCATAATATTAGTTACTTTTTCAAGAGAGATCAAATATGTTTTCAATGTAAGTTTATTTTCAGTAAAATCTTGTAGATGATAATTTTTTTTTCTTTTCCTTTATTTTTTTTTTAATCAAATTTTTTATATCTAACAATATCTTTGAGGGGACCTTTTGTTAGGAAAAAGTTAGATTTTTTTTTTTTGAAAAAATATTTGGAGGAGAATCTTGACTAATTTCAGGAAATGTTATGCATTTTGGTAAAACTATAGTTGATAGAGGGAATGAAAAATTATCTAATAACATCATTTACTGTATGATCCGCAATTGAAAATGACATTTTTTGAAGGTATCATGTCCTCTACATAAACATATCAGTGAACGAGCATTAAGACATGTTCACTATGGCTAGAAGCAGTCCATACAGCAGTAATTTTTTTTTTTTTCTAATAAATGGAACAGCTACACCAGCCTTAAAACATGAGCTCCCATTACAGAACATTATTTGGGAAAAATCAAGTTACTCTCCTTAACAAGTTTTGGGTGCCTTTGCTATTCATATGACGAGATTATATATTGAGAGAATAAATTCTTACCAAAGTCTCTTCTTTCCATCTTCATTAGTTACAGTCAAATTCATAAATTTAGGTTACAACTTACAAGTGTCTTCATACTCCTACGATATGTTATATTGGTTGAAAATACTTTTCCTTACATGTTAGATTCGTCTATTGGTAGTCTAACTCAGGGAGAGCTCCTAGCTAGATCCAACCGTGCCTAGCTAGCAACACAAACCGTAGATTCTAGGACTATCTCATCCCAATCTCCACTCCCTTTTGACTCTTTCATCGATTCTCATGATATATATTCCAAATGTCATTGCAGATCAGTGTCACCAGCTCAACCTGAAATTCCAATAACACATCATAATCTAATTGCTTTTGAGCTTGCTTGTGTTTCCAATATATATAACACATGCATGAGAAATCCATGGGTTCAAATTCTCAAAGACATTCTAGCAATCCTTCGGTTCAAGAACCAGCTCCACAATCTCAGCTAATGCCAATACATGGACTCGTTTCATCTACTACCGATCCAGGACGACCACAACTACACTTGAATAAACATCCAATCACCAAACGTAAAATTTAGGGCTGGTCTCATGCATTATAACTCTATTCATTCATCATTATATAGCTTTTGAGTTTAGAACATTCAAAGCAACCTTAGCTAACCCAAGTTGGTGCCAAGCAATGGAAGATGAACTACGAGCACTCTTCAAAAATAATACATGGACTCTTGCTCCTTGTCAATCTTCCATGAATATTATTGGCTCAAAATGGGTCTACAAGACCAAGTTGAAAACTAATGACACTTTAGAACAACTTAAGGCCAAGTTGGTTCCGAAAGGCTTCAATCAATAAAGAGCATTGATTACGGAAGAAACTTGCAGTCCAGTCATCAAACCTCAAACCATTTGTATTGTCCTTGCAATTGGCTATTGCCAAAGGTTTTGGCCAATTAGAAAGCTAGATATTCAAAATGCATATTTTCATGGATATTTGAAAGAACCAGTTTATATAGAGCAACCTCCTGGTTTCCATGGTCATACTCATACAGATTATGTTTATCGGCCGAATCATGCGTTGTATGGTGTGAAATAGGCACCTCTAGCTTGGTATGAACGGCTCAGCCAATTTTTACTTCAGCTCAGTTTTTTATGTAGTCACAGACTCACAGTGATACTTCCTTATTCATTCTTCATCACACTCAAGGCTCCATTTTCTTCTCTTAAACGTGGATGACATTATTCTCACCTGGAGTAATTTACTTCTTTTTACCACATTTATCACACAATTAAGCTCAGTATCAAGCTCTTGCTGCTGAAATTGGATTGCCTCTTAACTTATGGCGGGATTTGAATCTTTATCTCTCCCAACCATCTATTCTATATTGTGACAACATCAGTGCTCTTTACATGTCCTATAATCTTGTATTTCATGTCCAAACAAAGCACATTGAAATTGACTGTCATTTTGTTCGTGAAAAGATCGCTCAAGGATTTTTGGTAGCTCACATTGTGCGTTCCGTGCGTCAGTTAGCAGACACATTGGCCAAGGATCTTACTCATGGCAGATTTAAACCTTTATGCAGCAAGTTGAGTGATCTTTTCCCTTTCACACCTCAACATGTGCTACAACTTAATCTGATGCATCATTAGAGGATAAAGTTTAGTGATCATTCACTGATAGTCTTTTGTTTCCTTGATTTGCGTTTGGGTATAAATACCTAATTACACAATTATCTTATCACCATTGAGTAGTGTAAATCCATAAATTTGTTTTCTTCAAACCTCAATTTTAGATATTTGTATCTTAAATCTTCAAAAAAAATTTCTAAAAGAAATGCACTATTTTATAGTTTTTTTTTTTAAGTTAATATCTTTAATTCTTTATCTAAATCTCGTTTCAGATCATGTTTTTTAGGAATCATCTCAGGTCATCTTCGTCATGCCAAAAATACAAAAAAATTTTTGGTTCAATGGAGGTTGAGAACAAAATATATATATATATATATAAATTATAAGATTTAAATTTCAAATTTGATGAATATAATTTTTTTAATCGAGATAAATTTACAAAATTTTATGATAATGAAATGGAAGCCCTCAAATATTTTCCATTTTTCAGCCTGAAAAAAGGAGGAGACTCGATATAATTAGTAAGTAGCTTTCAATCGAGTTTTTGCTTAGTCTCTACTCTCTAGTTTGATTTCTGGTTTGTAGTGAATAGCAGAAACGTGAATTTCGCTGCCTATTCTCTAGTTTCTCGGGTTTCCTCCTCTTGCACTTTGTTAACATCTTTAGGCCCATTTCTCCTTTATATTCTGTCTTGAAAACTGAAGATGGACATGACCTGGGCCCTGAACATGGTCGATGAGGCCTAAAAAACGAAAGAATTCCCTTTTTTTTTTTTGGAAAAAAAGACGAAATTAAGTGAAATGACTAACTCATCCCTCAATCTTTGGATAAAAATTGTTTGGGACTGGAACTCTGCAAGAAACAAGGTGGAGGTTGTTGCAGCAGGTAACATCTTAAAGCCATTGAAGTTGCTTTAGTTACCATTTGAACTTTATTTTGTTGTCTTTTTTCTATTTTCTTCTCTTCACAAATTTGTCCCTTCTTCTTTCCTTTTTAATGGTGAAGTGGGTTTTCTTTGTTACATGTTTTCCTTAAAATCTATGATGTTCTCCCCTGAATTTTATGCAGTAACTCTTAGCTTTTCCTAGGCAGTTTAGTTTTCATTTGTTCATATTTATAGGGTTAAGAGGTATAGTTACTCAAATTTGTACGTCAATTTTTTTTAACAAAATCAGTCAAATTTTGGATATGATACTTGTATTTCAAAAGAACATGAGAAAGAATTTGAGAATTCTGGATTATTTCCCATGAAGTGAATGCTCTGGGCAGGGCATGGGATAGCACAGGCCAAGATACTGTAGCTGTTATCCAAAGTATGGCCCTTAACCTTGCAGCAAAGATCTGTGCCCCTACTGTTTCAAATGCAATGGAGACGGTCTTGAGACCTGAAAATGAATGTAAGGAACAATTTTCTACAACTTTTGAACCTTGTATATTTATGTGATTGCTTATTTCTGTTTGTAATTCTCATTTTTCTGTATTAAGGCTAGTGATTATGGGTGTAAACGAGTCAAACTATTCAGGTTCAAGTAAAAAAAAGCTCTCGGCTCAACTCATTCATTATAGAGCCGAGTTCAAGCTACTCAAGTAATGAGTTGAGGCGAATTTAAGTAGTTTAATACCAACTCAAGACACTCCATCAAGCTTTTATTTTTAAAAAATATAAGTAAATGATAAAAAAAAATAGTGTTTAATATCAATATTTATAATTTTACCGAGTCTACCAATGAAGCTCAAGTGATTTATTAAATTATGATTCAAGCTCGAACATAAAAAATGAAACTTGATGAGTTTAGAGTTTGAAATTTTCGAGTCAAGCCAAGCTTAAACCTAAAGTGTATAAACCCGATTGGGCTAAATTGCACCCCTATTAGTGACACAAATGTTTTGAACTCTTAGCTGCTTTCATTGTATTAATTCATTTTCTTCCTATGTCATATGTTAGATCTCGAGATCAGATTTAAGCATTTTATGTAAATAGTACGTAATGGAGCTTTAAATGCTTCCATCTTGATGAATTTGTTCCTCATCAATCTCCATTCTTTGTTGACTGTTTTTCTGCAATACAAAAGGTAAACGGGAATTCAGATGTGATGTTGTTAAACCATCTTTATCTGGTCGTCGTCAAACAATAGCGTGTACCAGTGCTTCATTGCTTGTTATTCTGACCTTCAACAGCGGCATAACTCCGTTACAAGTACGGGCTGAACCAGGTGACCAGAAGGAAGAGGATGAAGGAGTTGTAGGTGCCATTAAATCATTGTTTGATCCTAATGAGAAAACGAAGTCTGGAAAAGTGTTGCCAAAGGCATACTTAAAGTCAGCCAGAGAAGTTGTGAAAACACTGCGTGAATCACTGAAGGAGGATCCAAAGGATATCGCTAAATTTAGACGAACGGCGGATTCTGCAAAAGAATCAATTCGAGACTATTTGAGCAATTGGAAGGGACAAGAGAAAGTGGCTGGTGAGGTATGTATCCTACCATCCTTGACTGCTTGTTTTAAAGCATCAGATTGGTTCTCTTTGGTGGATTTTATTGATATTTTTATAATCCCGTGCATCACAGGAGTCGTACGTTGAGCTGGAAAAAGCAATCAGATCTTTGGCCAGTTTCTACTCCAGGGCAGGTCCATCTGCTCCATTACCGGAAGAGATTAAGAATGAAATATTGAATGATTTAAGCACAGCTGAAGAATTTTTGTAGTGCAGGAGCATGTTGTAGATATAAGAATGGCATACCATTTTGGTTGTTTACGTTTGAAGGTTTTTTTTTTGGCTCGTATCTTGCTTTATATTTCAGCACGAAGATTTTAGAAGTGAAAAACTTTTAAAATTTGATTTGAAATTGTTACGTTCTATTTATTTTAAATTAATTTTTTTTATTTTATTTAAATTAAATTTAGATATTATATGTATATATATATATATGTTTGGATTAAAAAGTAAAAAATTAAAAAAAAATCAAATTGAATTTTATATATTATTACTAAATTATATGATGTTACCATGTTATCAGAAACAGGTACGTTAGCAATTGCATGAACATTACTCGTACCACTTCCTTTATCTTCATCAGGAGAATCTAACGCTATTTTCTATTCCATCTCTGGAGTCTCATGACTTTCATCAGAAACAAGAAAAGATTTTCCAACAGGAAATTCACCTAGCTTGTCCCCTGACTGTGAATTGGAACAAATAGTCTCTTAAACTGTGAGCTCAGTTATGACATCAGATGCAGCAGCAACATTGTCACCTGCATGGGCAACATCCAAATCACCCTTTTCAGATGACTGAGTATTTTTCAGAGGACTGATTCTCTTGTCTACTGCACTATAGTCCATAGAGGAGGTAGCAAGATTTTGCTGTCAGAAGCAGATTCAGCTGCCCTGTCCCCTGACTGTGAATCAGTCCAATCATCAGAGATCAGAAGTTTGGAATCAATAACACCTACTGCGCAAGTATCATCCGTACCCTCTGTACAAGACCGAGTATTATCTTCAGCAGGAGAATCCAGTCCTGCCTTATTCTCTACCTCAAGTGTATCATGGCTTGAGCTAGGGTTTACAACACATTTACTATCTGACGCAGATTCATTCCTCGTCCCCTGTTTGATAATTAGTATGCGTAGTTTCCTCAACTGAGACAGAAATATTAGGTTCCAGGGAAACATCCAAGGAACCACTATTTCCACAAGAATCATTGATAGAAACATTTGGACATTGGGAACCTGAATCTGCAGCAGCAATTTCCCCATTTATGCGACTAGTATGATGCAAACCACCATCATCACACTCTTGAGTATCATGCCCAGAGAGGGAACCAGGTTTAGATTTGTTAGCCACCTCAGGTGTGATATGTTCATTAGATCCTGATTCAGTTTGCTTTGCACCTACTCCGACAAATTTTGAGAAGTTAAAGAACAGTAAATAAACATAACTGAAAACAATGGGAATAATTGCATTAACTAAAACCTGTGACAGCAGTCAAGTTTGCCTTTGTGTTTTCTTGTTCCAGCAGTAGCTTCTGCAGCATATCTATATCAGGGAAGACCAGCATATTCATGGACCTCATTTCTTGCTTAAGTGATTCCTCTAGAGGAGTGAAACCAAAAACTGCGGTCCATGTATGTGTAAGTTCAGCAATTGCAGGGATGACTAATTTCTCAACCTCGAGAGAGCAGAGAGCCTTCAGACATGAAAAGAATAAACTAAATTAATGTTACAAGGAACAACACAATCAAGCAAAAGGGGAACAGGAAATATATATATATATATATATACATAAATGCATATATACATATATATATATTTATTTATATGTAGAGAGACACACAGGCACACATACAAACACACTTATATGCTCCTCACAGCTTACCGACTCAATAGCACAGAAAAGCCGACGGCACATTCCCTGCCGCGTGTATACATGGCGAGTGCCAATGAATGGCATCTCTGCATCTGAGTTCCATGGAACCTACATAGGTTAATGGGACATCAAATTGGTAAGCATTTATTAGAATGATAATCTAGAGTGCATCAAATCAACCCAACCAAGGATATCTACACCAAGAAGTAAGGTGCTTGTGTTTTGTTAGGTGATTCTGCTCTTCATTATGTTTCTCTGAAATTTTTATCCACCCAACCAAAGATAAATAACTGCAGAGGGGGGGGGGGGGGGGGGGAGGTGCAGCATATAGATGCCAAAATGTTATACCTGATAGATGCTGCAGAAATTATTTCATCGCCTCTCTCCAGAATAGCAGTGTGGAAGCCACTATAATTCAGTCGGTTAAAGTTTGACCTTAAAAGATAAAAGCAGCAAATTGCAAACAGTTAGGTATTTGATGTTTGACAAAGAATAAAATGGCCACAGTTACTATAATCTGTATAATCCAGGAAAGGCACAGACTATAGAAGAATACACAAGATCTTATCCAAGCAGAAAGTGAGAAATGGATAGAAATATTAGCTGAAATCATAACAGAAACAAGAGTTCAATGTAATTTTAAACTGTAAAAATAAAACATAATTCAAACACACTTAAATAGGAAATTCATCCCTTGGATCCTTTTAAAAAATAGTTAGAATATACAAAAATACTGCATGCTATATCAGACAGTTCTCTTAAAGCATATCCATAGTCTGACAAGATATACAATAAAAATCATAAATGAGCATGCAAGCACATAATAGCTCAAAAAGCATACTGAAACATTCTATTCAGCCAAACTTGCAAATAAATGCTAAGGTTAATACTAATATATAAAAAAAAATCTATAAATCATAGTGGAAAAAATCGAAGAAGATAATAAGGAAAGTAAACAAAAATTTGTTTCACAAATTATGATGAGACTCTTATAATCTACATGAAGAAACAAAATAATTAAAGCATAATCAGCTAGACAAGCACTATTAAGGAAAAATGCTAACAAAACCAACACCGCTTTAAATTCAGCATCCAAAATGCTTACCCACAATTATAAAGTACATTATTTATTAAGTTGATCCTACTCCTCCTGTCAACAATGGGCAAAAAAATTCATCCATCACAGTCACTGCAACAGCTAGTTTAGAATTACATTCAACCCTCTGCGGAAGCCCTATGGCAATTGTGTCTGAGTATGCATCTGTTCTTCGAACAAGAGACCATGAAAACCCTGCTTCTAGTTCATGTTTGACCACTAGATACTTCTGTAAATGCTCAAAGAGCTGTAGGAACAACAAAAACATTTCTGAACATGTGCTTTAACATATTTGAACTTTGTGCCTTCATAATATGATACAAAAGCAGCAAGATATGAACCAGAACAAACCCCATAAAAAAAAAAAAAAGCAAACAGATACCAGTTTTCTTCCAGAAAAAAAAGGAAAAAGAGAAAAAAACTAGGGCTTTACAATGCATCAAATCAATAAGGCAAAAAAACCTAAAAAACAAATTCCTGAATCAAATGATGACATAATATAATCTACCAGATAACATATATTAATTACACAAACCCACAAAACAACCTTTCTGTTTAAACAACATTATAATAAAAAAGCAAACAATGCATGCACAATTTAGAAATTTTATTGCTACACTTCATGAGAACAGTTTTACCCACAGTAACACAGCAATACCATTGTATTACCCACTTTTTACATTTAAAAAAAAATACAATTTTGATTCCCAAATAAGGAAATAAAGGAATTTTGAGAGGCACTAAATGAATAAGGGAAAAAATAGAGAAACAAAATCCCATGTCAGAAAGCCCTAAGATACTATCTACCAGAAAAACACATATTACAAACCTAGATGAACTGTTTCTGTTTAACAATATTATGGCAAAAAAGTGAACACCACATACAACGAAAATTTCATATTCAATAGAGTTAATAATAACTTTTTTAGCTAGCCACAACCATAGCAACAATATGTCAATACCATCATGTCATGAAGAAACCAAAACTACTTTCTGATAAACATTAGGCAATTTGATGTAAGATAGGTTCAAAATCTTTTAAATATGGTAAATAAAGGGTATGATTGCTTCTGCAATAGATTTTTCATAAGTTCTTTATTTACATCAAATCACAACATTCAGCATTACAATGCCAACAGAAGAAAAGCATATTACCTCTTGGCATGTATTCCCACAAAAAGGAAGAAGTAAACTGTCGGAGTCAATATGAACCTCATCTGTCACTTTAATGCATGGTTTGTGGTCTACAAAAATGCAAACGATCAGAATATGATTGAAAAGAAATCAAGGAGAGGAAACTATGGCAGCAACTTCAAACTTCAAAGAATCGAGAATGCCAAAACCAAGAGAATGTTTACATTTTTTCTCGCACAGGCTGCAAGTGTGAAGCACATGATCAGTTATATCATCCTCTTGAGCAATGTCACTGCCATTGCCACAAAATTTGCATATGCAATTTGGACAGTGCCAATCACCCATTGGCAGAAACTGTAAAAGAGTGTGTATAAATAAAGCCAAGTTAAGCTAAGTTTGTGTTCAATTACTAAGCAGTATAAGTTAACAAGCACAAGGTAAGTTTGTGTTCAACTGCTAAGCAGTTTAAATCAACAAGCAAAAAAGGTCAGAAAAAGTAAATTTTCTACCAGGAGAACAAATTCAAAAGAATAAAAATAAAAACTAGCAAATACGGTAAGCAGGATAAAACTTTTTCACTTCATCTTTTGGAAGACAATTAAAAGCCAATCCTTTTCAGGTCATCAAACATACGATAGAAAGCAGTTGATATATGTAGCTGACAACTACATTTCAAAAGCACAACCATTTGAGGGAGCAGCATTAAGCCACCGACATACATTTCTTGCATAAAGATCCAAAACATTGCTGATACTAATTCAGGGAACAGGTCTTACGAACAGTCAGCCAGGAGAAAACATTCAGGAAAAGGTTTCTTCTAAAAGTTATAAATAAGACATACGCCTTTTTTTGTCAGCTAAATTACATGTCCAACACCAATCAAAGGAAGTTTAACAATGCCCTTAAATTTTGTTCAGCACTGAACAAATTTAGAGATCCCTTACCATATGCTCAATAGCTACAACCTTCAAAATGAACATAACTATCCGCTTAAAGGAAGAAATTGCATTACCTAGCAACATATTTAGATCTAACTCTGGTCATTAACTCCATTCAAGTAACACAGCTGCTATTTCTCAAGAGGGAGCAAGAAGAGACTGGGGCCATGGAGGGGGGAGAGGGAGGGAGAAAAATAAATAAATGATCCACATAAACTCAAGAATCCCAGATCCATGAACTGGAGTTTTGTTGCCCCTTGAATATCACCTAAATTCTCAATACTCAGAAATCTCTTGAACTCTAAACCTGTTGTAGACACCCTATTTGGTCCGGATCCAAGCCCATTGGGCTTGATCCAATAGGATTTGGGTCTAAGCCCATTGGACCCGATTTAGGGTCCAATTAGCTTGCCCCAATGGACTTTTATTTTTATTTTCATTATATATATTTTATCTATTAATATTTTTATTATTTATCTGTTTTTTTATTATCATTTATCTATTTCTTTTATTTATCTATTTTTTTTTGTTTGTTATCTATTAATATATTTTTATTTTTATTTTGATTAATTTTCAGTTAATATTAGGATAAAAAAATTGGAATGAATTTGGCTATGATTTGGGAATTAGCAAAATTGGGATTGGATTCAAAGATTGAATCTAAATCCCAGAAAGAGTTGGGATTGATCAAAAACTCTTCTGATCAATCCCTATAAATAGGTGCTGGAAGAACAGAAGAAAACACACAGAAAAAAGCAAACACAGAGAAGAAACAGAAGCTAAAAAAGGGTTTTGGTGTGTTAAATTCTTAAGTCGAGTCTCCGAGTTGTTTTTCTTCCTCAAACCCCCAGGTTTTTTTTTTTTTCGTTTTTTTTATTATTTATTTATTTATTATTATATTATGATTGTTTAATATTTTTATTTTCGTTTTTCTATTTTTAATTTTATTTTTATTATTTATTTATTTATTATTATTATATTAGGATTGTTTAATATTTTTTTTTATTTATTTTATTTCTTTAAATAAAGTTAAAAAAAACATTTTTTCCTTAAAAATAAATTAAAAAAAAAAGTTTTTGGTATCAATTTTTCTCGAAATTAAAGTTTTCAAAAAATATTTTTGAAGAAAAGTTAAAAGTATCAATTTTTCTTAAAGATAAATTTTCAAAGGGATTTTTGAGAAAAAATTGAAAGTATCAATTTTCCTCGAAATTAAAGTTTTCAAAAACAAAAATATTTTTAGGGAAAAGTTGAAAGTATCAATTTTCCTTGAAAATAAACTTTCCACAAAAAAATATTTTTGGGAAAAAAGTTGAAAGTATCAATTTTCCTTAAAAATAAGTTTTCAAAAATGGATTTTTAAGGAAAAGTTAAAAGTATCAATTTTTCTCGAAATTAAAGTTTCAAAAGAATATTTTTGGAGAAAAGTTGAAAGTATCAATTTTTCCTGCACAAAAACAATCATTTTTTTCTTTTTATTTTTTTTAATGTTAAATAATCCGACGATGGAACCTCTGCAAGTGAAACAGTAGTTTTCTTGCATACTCTTGAGGTGAGGGGATTTTTTCAATTTTCTGCTAAAAGTATTAGAGTCAATTGAGAATAATTTTCAATAGTTAATTACTTGATAAAATTTTAAGGCTTATTGGATAACACTAAATTAAGCTGGTACCATCTTTTGATGGGCGTTGTGAGGGAGCTATAACCTTCCTCACACGTAACCGAACTTTCGAACCCTGTTCTAGTTAGTAAACCTGAACCTATTACCCTTAAACTTAGGTGTTCCCTGAAAGGAGAGATTCCTTAAGTGGCCAATCGCACCTAAATAAAAAAGATTGGTGGCGACTTCTTAAAAATCAATGTCTAGCGATAGATCCCCGGATCTAGACATTATGACACCTGCATTAACCTCTATTTAAAATAAAACTGACCGAGAAATTTGCAAGGAAAACTTGTAGGAGAAAGAAAGCAAACAAGAGAGACTGACCACCATTTGTAAATGTGAAACACTATATAGCAGGTGAGAAAATTATGCATAAATACCTCTATATTTTGGCAGCTCTGATGAAATGTTGAGGCACAACTGTCGCAACAGATCAGATCCCCACCATCTCCGCAAATGCCACAAGTATCATCATTGGGGTCATCACCATCAACATCTACATAATGGAAACCAATCTGCTCAGAATCCTCTTGTCTGTTCCATGCATCTATTTGGGACTGAAGGAGAGAAACACCAGAGTCCAAATATATATTCTGAAATGGCTGGCGCAATTTGCTTCCAGCATGAATCTCAAATTTTGAAACTGTGAGGATTTTACTACAACAACCACAATGGATACCATCCCTTGTGATCCAGCCCTCTAGCATGACTTTTGTTCTCCTAAGGTTCATATACAGCACCTTTTGGCTCAACTGCACTGCTCCAGAGTCAATCAGCCAGGAAAGCAGTGTTCTTTTCCCAGAATATGTAACAAAGTCATCACCCTCTGAACTCAGACCCACATTAGAACCACGAACCAACAAAGTGCATCTGCCAAGTTTTCTACTTTTTCTTCCATGAACAAGATGATAATTGGATATAGAGGATGGTTTTTCGTAGCTATCATGCCCATGGAGAGAACTTTGACCTTTTACATTTGCACTTAAGGGACCATTGTTATTCATCCAACATTTGAATGACTTACCATGTTTAATGAAGGAACTTAGTTTCTCTTCATAACTCAAGCTATCCATACTCTCATCTTCATGCCTGGTACTTGAAGATTTCCGAGCAACAGCTTCTTGTGCATTCTCACTGTTATGGTCATCTCTTTGCTTCGTTTTCATCTCCATTTCCATCTTCTTTCGGGTTTTCCTTGTTAATTGGCTGAGAACTTCATCTGAAAATGGGGCAAATGCCAAACCATCCCCAACAGGTTTGCCTTCCTCTTCCTCATCTAGCTGCTTTAGGAGTGCATCATATGCTTTGATGATGGACCAGTAAGCAGTTCCAGCAGGGTTGATGTACACTGCATCCAAGTAGTCCCTGTTCCTCCTTGGTCTATAATCTATTGTCCAGCCTGCTTCCTGAAGCATCCCCCTTATTTGTTCACGTAATTTCTGTTTTTCTGTGCCACATCCTCGCCTAACTTTTCCTTCTTTGATTTTGGTAGGTAGAAGCTGCTCAGCTTGAGTTTTTCCTCTTTGCTAATTACCCTCTTTGTTGAGTTAGAAGCTTCCATATTCTTTGGCTGAAGCTTCAGAGAAGTATCACTATCCTCTGAATCCCAGTCAGAGGCCTTATTTTTCTTAGTTGTCGGTGTCTTTAGCAAATTCATTTTCTTTTTCTCTTTCCTACCAAGTGAAACAGGTTGCTCAAGAACTTCCGTCTCAGAGTACAAGGATGGACAGACATGCAAGTTACTCCTAATTCTATCATCAATCCTTGAACCACTCCTGTCTTGTTCAACTTCCAAGTCATCAAAACTTTTCAAAGGCTCAATCACCCTTTTCTTGTTGACCATGACCTTCAAAACACCACTTTTGCCCTGAACCCTGATGGGTTTATCCAAACCAGCCATAAACCTCTCCCTTAACAAGGAGTACTGCAGCCAAACACCATCCCTATCCTTCCTAAACCTGTCCTTATCATCATGATCACCCTGACTCATCCCATCATTCTTACCAAAATACAAAATTTTCTTCTTCTTCTTTTCAAGGAAAACATGCCTTCTTGGGCCACTCTCATATTCTCTCTCAATACTACTCCGAGCAACTGCAGGCATTGAACCCAGCAATCTCCTCCTGCCAACCTCTTCTCCATCGTAATCAAATCGGCGCCTCCTCATAATCATCTCCTGATCGAGTCCATCATACTCATTAAAGTCATACACATCTAACCTATTCCTCTTATTCTCACTCAAATCCTCCCCATTCCTACCAATGAAACCTTCCTCACTCTGCCTTATCCTCTCCTCCCTATTTCTCTTCCTACCAATTTCACTTTCTTCATAAACAGCTAAACCATTACAAACTTGAATTGTTTCGGGCCCAACCCTCCTTCGAGGTGGCATCACTAGCTCATCACTAGAACCCGAATCACTCATAATCATCCTAGGCCTCTTCTTCTGTTTTTTGGACTCGTAAATCTTTCGGGTCCCAATAGACCCGGCCCCACCCGAACCATCCCCTTTCTTCTTCACAATCAAACACTGGCTCCTATTCTTCACTATAATCCCCGAATGCTCACGAGATCTCATTCGCTCTTCCATGAAGAGCGAGGCAAAACACTAAATTCCTATTCTTTTCCTCAAATTCATCACAAACTAAAAAAGAATCCGTTAAAAAAAGAATATAACCTAAATCTATCTCATCCACCAGATCTCTGGCGAAAAATTCCCAGAACAAACCAAAATGAATAATAATAATATACAAAAAGCTTTCAGTTTTTCAAGCCAGATAATATCTTTGGCGAAAAACGATCCGTCGCAGTAGGCAAAAGGCGATTCTTTTGGCGGTAATTCACCGGCGATCGCTGACGCAATTTACCGGTGACAAAATTAGAGGGGAAAAGAGAGAGAAACAATGGGGAAGAGAAACAGAAATACAGATTTCGGCTTTGGATTATAAAATAGAAAAACCAAAGCCGCTGTGAAATTAATTAATTAATATTATTAGTACTATTTCCTCTTTTTTTTTCGGTTTCTTGTTGGTTGATTGATGAATTAATCTCGTCAGACTTTTCCCTCCAAATCTCGCCGTCGCAAGAATCGGGCCAGGACGAAACGACAGCGTTGATTTACACGTCAGATCGGGTCCACTATATTCACTGTTTGCTTACGTGGCAATCTCTCGTTAGCCTTGAATCCAGGTGGTTGTTATAACTGCTTTGTTTTAATAATTAACGAAATTTATAAAAGAAGGATTGGCAAGGTATGTGACGTCCAAACGCAAGTGGAAGCGCGTGAAAAGAGCCGGAGGGGTGTTTGTGGATTTAGGTGAAGTAAGGGAGTGTGACATAATCAGATTCGCTTTGGTTAGGGAATTTTAATAGCAGTTTTGGTAAAAAAATAAAATTTGTTTTTCACCCTTTTCCATGTTAAAACGTTATGGGGCTTTGCGTTTTTTTGCTTTTAACCTTCCGTCTGGATTAATGCTCGAGCTTTTACAGTCTAAAAGTTACTATTTAAAACCTTATCTATCTATAGTTAGAGCTACTTATAAGTTAAATTGGATCTGAGTTCGGATTAAATTTAATGTGATATTTTAGTATTTTAAGAAAATTCAAAGTTGGCGTGATTTAATTTTTTGAGTTTTATTTTTTGTTTAATTTTATTTTTATATGTAATAATAAAATTTAAATTTATTCAAAACATTAATATTTAAAATTGAAAAAAATAGTTTTTTTATTATTTTATAAATTATTAATTTAATTAATTTTAATTAAATTTATAATTTATTTGAATTTTGATCTAATTTAATTTTATTGAATATAATTTAAAATTAAATCATTATTTTAATGTTTTGTATAAAAAAGAATTAGATTTTATTTTATTATAAATAATAAAGCAAATAGTTTTGTGATATTATAAAAAATAAAACTAATGGACTCATTATAATAAAAATATTTTTTTAATTTTTGAAAACATGCTTAATATTTATGTACATTACCTTTAAAATTTTTAAAAAACTCTTGGATTCGAACAAATCACTCTGCCATAAGCAGGTCTATCCATAATTTATTTATTTTAATTAATAAAAAAAGATTTTGAAAAAATTTTTAATAATAATCTAAATTTTTATTATTTTATTATAATTAATTAAATTATAAAATATTTATGTTTACTGTTTATTAATTGAACATTTATTAGATAAAAATTAATTAATCATTAATATTAATTTTCATCTAATAAAAAATTTAATTGGAATAAAAAGAATATTTAAATGTTTAATTTCATGAAAATAAAATTTAAAAGCTTAAATCATTTAAAATAAAATTTTAAAATTTTAATTAATTGTAATAAAATATTAAAAACTTAAATAATTATTAAATATTTGTCAAAAACTTTTTTTACTCTTTCATTTTAAGTAGTTAGTGTCAACCTTGTTGTATTTCTCAAATTGTTTTTTTCTTATTATTGATCAGTTATTACTGAGATTCAATAAACGATAAAAATTTCTTAAAGTAAGTTTTAAGGGAGCATTTTCACTTGTAATTTTTTATCATAAAGTAAAAATTATATAAAGATTTAGCTTTTAAAAGCATAGATTTTACATAATTTTAAATTATGATTAATTAATTATAAATAACTTATACCCAATTTAAAAAAATTATGTATTAACTTTAAAATCAAATCAGATGTCCTTGTTTCCAAATTATTGGTTCCCTGTATTTTATATAGCTTGATTAATTGTGAACTTCAATTTATAGACTATATTTTAAAATTTTGTTAACAAGCATCTTTAAAACGTTTGTTATTTTTAAATTAAAATATAATAATAATTAATATAAGTATTTTTTTTTTATCATTCAAAGAATCAGAACCTTACATTAAATGATGAAAAAAAAGTTAGAGTTCAAACTCCGACCATGATATCTCTTTTAACATTTTTATAACATAACAGTCATGTCGATAATAATTCTATTTGCTAACTCAACAAACATAATATTTAGATATTTTAATTAAACATGTTCTCGTTCATACGATATAAAAGATAAAATCAAGTAGAGTATGTTACATATTTACAACCATTTGGTTTGAAGCTGCATCAACAATTATATAAGAAAAATGAAAAACTACTAACTACTTATTACATTCCATTTTAGTTCAAGACAGTAGCATGTTGGGAGAATATTTGGGAATACTTTTTTTGTGTTGTACAAGGACCGTTAAGGAGAACAAGGTAAAAAAAAAAAAAAAAAAAGGCTACAGCAAAAACAAAAGGGGCCTTTTAAATGCAATTACCTTTTTGCTATTTACAATAAAAAAAGATGGTTATGGTAAAAATACCCTTAAAGTGAAATACTTAATTAACCTCATAAAATTACATTTTTAACCTTTCAATACTTTTAGAGACCGTTTAATATTTAAAAATTTTATCACATTTTTTAAAATATATATTCGAAATTTTACCTTTATCAGATTTGTACTTTCAAAAATATAAGCATTTTAATGAATAATTATTTTAAAAAAATAATAAACCAATCGAATATGTATTTTTAAAAATAAAATATCTTAATTAAATAGGATATTCATATTCAAAAACTTCCTTATGAATAAAAACTAAGAATAAAAAAAAATTAAAAAATTGATTCGAAATTATAATATTTTATTTGATTCGAATCAATTTTTTTATTTGATTTGATTTGAATAAGATATTAAATGTACATATTAAATTTAAATTAAATTTTAAATCAAAAAATAAAAAATAAAAAATTTTGAATTAAATAGAATTATATATTTTTTAATTTTTATGTATTTTTAAAATTTTTATAAAATAAAAATAATAATTTTATATCAAAATCTATTTAAATATGTTAAAATAATACATAAAAATTAAAAACTAATAAACTAAATTAATAAAATTCGATTAAAATTAAATAAAATTTAAATTTAAATTCAAATCATATTTTAAAATTTTATAATATTATATAATATTTAAAAAAATTAAATAAAATTAGATCCAAATTGGATTGTCGTCGCCCTTAATAAATTCCTTCTTATCTTTGTCTTTCTCTGTTACAAATTTTGATACACAGATTTTTTTTATTTTTTTTTTGGGGTGGGTGATATATTATACCTCTACTCCTTTTTGTCCTTGCTTTATTTCTTCCTCTTCGTTTCCTTCTTCTAAATCTACTTCAACATCAAGCTCTTCCATCAAATTTCAACTTCGGATCACAGGCTTTCGTCGAAATCCTCATACGACTTACAACGTATAGAAAGACATGTTGTTTGCATGGCTCCCGACAAAGAGAAAATGACTTGTCTCTCCCCTCTCAATTTCCCAATAGTAATTCTTTTACAAATTTCTTCGTCCTTTTCTTTATTTGAATTCTGTTTTTTCAAATCATAAATTTTCTTTTTTTTAAAGTTTTTTAGGGGACTGGTGCGTTTGGAAAATTTTCATTGAATTTATAATTTTTAGGAAGAGATTTTTTTTTCTATAAAATTCCTTTGATAGTGGGTTATTTAGGTTTGTTTAAGAAAATGAAATTGCTATATGTTTTGCTAGCAACCAATATATCCTAAAACCAGTTTAGTGAAATTGAAGGCAAATGATCTCTTTTCCAAGCATGGAATTGTGTCAACAAAGGATTTTCTGCTTATTGAAAGTTGTAGCCTGAAACACTTGATGAAATGAAATAGAAGCCACTCTTCTGGTCAAATGATGAGGCCTTACGAGAATTCATTGCTTGAGTTGTAAGTGTTGAAAATATTAACTCAAATCCTATAAGAGATTTGTTTGAGATTTGTTAGAGATTTATTTGAGATTTGTCAGATATTGCTTGATGGATAAGAAAACTTGCAAAAGAAGAATTCTAAGAGAAAGATGATTCTTAATAGGTAAGTTTGACTTGTAAAAGAAGAATTTTAAAAGAAAATGGATTCTTAATAGACAAGTTTGACTTACAGGAGAAGAATTTTAAGAGGAGAGGGATTCTTAATGGGCAAGTTTGTATGGTTATAAATAAGTGAAGTCTCTACAGGGTTAGGTATGAGAAAAAGATGTAAGAGAGTTACAAGATTTTATGGGATAGACATCTCATAGGAGTATTGGGGCTCTACGTCTTATGGGTGTGTATGTTTGTTTGTTAGTAGACTAGAGGAGATTGAGAGGGTCCACATAGGTATGGTGTATAGGAGCATATGTGTATGTATTTGGTTATGTTGAAAGAGTGCACAAGGGTTTGGGTTTAGGTTTGTGTTTGTTTGGGTTGAAAATACTTTATAGGACTAGAGGAGATTGAGAGTGTCTTATGAGTATTGATTGTTGAGTGAAGTTGATGACTTGATGTAGTTTGTAATTCTCTACAACTAGTAGATCTTTTTTCTCATACGTGGATGTAGGTCAGTTGGACTGAACCACGTTAAATTGTTGTCTCTGATGTATTTAATTTATTGTTTGATTTTACTTTCGTTGGTGTGATTGGAATGGAGGCTTTTAGCCCAACAAATGGTATTAGAGCTGTGGTGTTCCCTAACAAATGGTATCAGAGCTGTGGTGATCCTCAACAAGTGGTATCAGAGCTGAAGGTTCGAGACATGGGAAGAGTTGACAGTTCGAGATATGGAAAGAGCTTGGTTTGAGATATGAGAAGAAGTAAGCTTAGAGGAGCTCGATTCAAGAGAAGAGTTCGAGTTCAAGTTTTGAAGATTGGTTTGTATGAAGCGTGAAGACACAAGAGAAGAGAAGATGATTGTAAGACTTCCATTGCAGGTGGAGCCAAGCACGTCTAGCATATGGAGACAGATGATTGATGGAATTTGAGTCAAGGTGGAGATTGTTGAGAATATTGACTCAAATCCTATAAGAGATTTGTTTGAGATTTGTTAGAGATTTGTTTGGGATTTGTCAGATATTGCTTGATGGACAAGAAGACTTGCAAAAGAAGAATTCTAAAAGAAAGAGGATTCTTAATAGGTAAGTTTGACTTGTAAGAGAAGAATTCTAAAAGAAAATA